CGCACGACAGCGTCGTATTACAAGCCTCTCCTTCTAACAGTATGTTTTGTCTCTTTTAAATTCATTCAACCCATTCACATGCTTTGTGACCTTTACAAATGAACTTTACGTTACGCTTTTATAGTTAAGGGTGTTCTAAAATTCTTTGTTTTGGAAAATTTAATAACTGTGTAAATATTGATATTTAAAGGATTTAAATGTTTAATACAACTTTAAAAAGTTATCCCCTATATGTGTGTTCATTTATTGTCGCGATGGTAAAGACACGCTGTATATGTATATGTATACAGCGTGTCGTATCAAATTTTTCCAAAACAAAGAATTTTAGAACATCCTTAAGTATAAAACTTTAATGTAAAGTTCATTTGTAAAGGTCACAAAGCATATGAATGGGTTGCATGAATTTAAAAGAGACAAAACATACTGTTGGAAGGAGAGGCTTGTAATGTGGCGCTGTGGCAACGAATGAAAAAGTCTCTGAATGTATGAATCAGTCAGTTGTAGTGTATATCAGTTATAAAGATGTTACAAATTTTGTTTCTTATTTACTTAATTAGTTTGTTTGAAAAATATTTTTTTTTAATTATGGATTATTTTTCACGTCAATATTTTTTATGATTATTGGCAAGTAGCGTTAGACGTGTGTTCATTTATTGTCGCGGTGGTAAAGACACGCTATATAGTTCTGCTAAGTATAAAAGCGTGTTTTTTTAAACATGTTTTAAATGCGTACACAAGGACACTACCGAGTATCGAGGATTTGGAAAATAGCTAATCCAGAAGGTCCTGACTAGGATAATGAGAAAAACTATTTAAATTATTGCATTGTCATGGGTCTTTCACATTGTTCAAACTGGGGCGAAATCACGTTTAAAGATTCTGTTACATTCTCATATACAGGTAAAAGCGTGTTAAAATGTTGTCTGCAAAAGTGAAATAATCAGAATTTTGAACGGAGTTTTTCACTTAGTACTAATATTTACGTTTTTTTACAGATGCTGGCCGCAGTAACAATGTATCTAACTATTTTACTGCAATGTAATACAAATAAATAAAAAATATTACTACTATGATGTGCACATACATGACTATCGGTCACGTATGTGCACATCATTCATACTTAGAAATATTATTCTTAGTAGTAGTAGCCTTAGTAAGATTATTCTTTCTTTTAATTGAGTTTATTCGAGCAACCTAATCCGCATGGTGCATACTCCAATGAAATTACCAATTTCAATTAAAAGTGCTAATTCACCATCGCGGTGGTGGAATACACTGTCCGAAACGTCTAAGCAATAGTTTTTCTAGTCTACATATTCTTTATTTTGAAAGTCTGTAAAGTTTACCAGGGGTCTGCCAGTACAGAGGTCGCGTGGGAAACTGCCCCAATTTCCTCTTTAGTTACAAAAAGACCTTTGTCAAACAAGGAAACATTATCATGAATAATTAAATATGTTTTCTTTTATAATATTTATACTTTACTCAAGATGAAATTTATATGAGAATTTTATAGATGAATTGTCGAAAAATTTTCAAAGCTGCCAGGATTCGAATCACACTAGCACTAAAAATAAATAGTAATCAAGTTCCAAATAACGAAACATCTATTGTCAAATATTCACAAAGAAGGGTTAATTGAAAGTATCTACAAAGTTGTAAGTGATCTATTAAACGCGAAGTTAAATTACTTTTTAAAATTGTTTTTGAAAACATGCCGTTTATCGGCTGTTTTATTTCTTGTACATGTACAATCATGCCGGATATGCAGAAACTATATGCGACGTGATTGGGCTTAGTATTAAAGTCTGACTTAAGTACAATCATGCTACATGAAAAGTTTAAAAACCCTACTTGTTTAAGTCTTGATACATCGTTTGCACAGGGCCCGATTTAGGGGAGGGCAACCGGGGCAACAGCCCCGGGGCCTCCACAAACGAGGGGCGCCCACAATAGACACGTCGGAAAAAAAATTCTAATTCAGACTAGTAAACAACTTTTCCTTTCATATTTTTTTCGCGTTTTACTTTTACCTACAGTACTTTCTACAAACATGATTACATTAAAAAATAACAGATATCAATAGAAAATAATTTGGGGCCAAGGGGCCTCCACTCCTTTGTTGTCCCGAGGCCTCCAGACCTCTAAATCTGGTCCTGTTTGCACGAAAAAATTTCGTAAGTAATAGGGTCACGGTCATGTCCAGGGAAGTAAAAAAAATGAAATGAGTAGGCTTACTAAATGACTAGGCTAAATTACTAAATTACAAATCACTAACTTACTAAATACTAGGCTTACTAAATGAGAGTAGGCTTAGAGTAGACTTAATACTAATGCAAACACCACCTTATATTAGCTTAGTATCTATAAAAAACTGTTGATATAAATAATGAAAAATTTTATTGTTAACACTGATTTGCATTCCTTGACTAGGTATATGCTATTTTTGTTATAACCTTGTGTAAAAAGTTAAAAAAAAATATTAAAGATTAAAACACGTTCCCCCTTTAATAAAATAATGAAAGAGTTAATACATAGAGTATACAAACCTCCTAGTGCGTTATATGAATCATTCGAAAATGGATTGGAAGAAATATTATTGAAGTTATCTGTCTGTTGAAGTAATCTAATAAACATATTATTGTCTGTGGTGACTTTAACATAAATCTTCTAAAAAATTCTACCACTATTAGATTCAGATCATTGTTAAATACATATAACCTTTCTTACCTATTTTATGAACCAAGACAATTGCCGAATCATTACTTAAAAAATTTTTATGGAATGTAAAGAAAACTTTAAATTTACTACTGTTAATAAGATCGATATTATAAAACATTTAAATCTCTAGATATTAAAAGAACTGCTGATCTATGGGGGATCCCTGATATACTGCTGATGATACTTCTTTAATTTTTAAAGTTAAACGACATTCTTTAAATTATGACGCTGTTAACAATACTCTCTCCACTGTAGTGAATTGGTTTAGTGCTAACAACTTAATGTTGAATAGTAAAAAAACGACATGTATTAAATTTACAACTCCCAACGTAAAAAGTGTAAAAACTGATGTACTTTTACATGGGGAAGCGTTAGACCTAATTGACTCGACTGTATTTCTTGGCATAACTGTACATGCTAAATTGCAGTGGGTCCCCATATTAATAAACTGGCGAGTAGACTAAACTCAGCAGTCTTCGCAGTCAAAAGGAATACGAAAAAAGATACGGCTCGTCTGGTATATTTTAGCTATTTCCACAGTATAATGTCCTATGGCATTCTTCTTTTGGGGAAATGCAGCCGACATAAACACTATCTTCATCCAGCAAAAGAGAGCTACTCGAGCAGTTTATAACCTGGGCCCCAAAGATACACTAAGAAACTTGTTTAAAAAAATAAAAAAATTGACTAGCTTCTTGCAAATTTTATGTATGTCCGCAAAAATAAGAATGAGTTTTCAAGATTTAGTAATGTGCACGATGTAAATACTAGGAACAGGCATAAATTGGTACTACCCTCACCTAGATTGCGTAGAATAAGTAAATGTTTTAGGGGACAATGTATACGCTTTTACAACAAAATCCCAGAAAACGTTCAAAATGAATCCGTTGCTAAATTCAAAAACTTGTAAAGGAACGTTTGTGTGTTAATGGCTATTATAGTTTAGTGATTATTTGAATGTTAACACACTCTGGAAATTAATTGATCGCTCCAGGCTCTTTCAAGTGGAATTTAATAAATTGTACACATATTTTTAGTGTAGTTTTTGTAATTTTTTTTGTCAAGTTAAAAAAAATTTAAAAAATGTCCCGCTGAGTTTCTTACGCCGGTTCTTCTCAGGTCAGTGGCTTTCCTTCCGAACCGGTGGTAGAGTTTTTTGACTATCAATAAGTAAGTGTATGCTTCGTATTGATCGCACGTAAAATAAATGAGTTGCGTATAAATGACGCACTTTTTGAGATAAGTTCAAATGAATGTAATTAATTACTTATGAGTGATTTTAAATATTTATCATTTTTTTAATATGTGTCTTGAACTTAATAAAATAAATGGATACACTTAGAAAAGCCACCCTGTATTCGTCGGTAAGGCGAACCAAGGAACGCCATCCATTCGCTCCTAGTCGATTCATAATGAAAAAAAGTATGTACACACGTATAAATTTATACTTCTTTATCGTAAATACATTTTTCCAAACGCGCCAAAGAAGTATAACTTCAAAATTATTAGCATACAAACGCGTTTTTATTTGGATAAACACCTACACAGACAAACTAAGAAAGCAAACCTGATCTAAATTTAAAAAAATATCTTACTTAATCTAGTAAAATAATTGCTGACTTAAATAAAGGATACCAGATATAATTCAATTTGACTCAAAATATTCTCAAACGTATTAGATTTCGTTTCTTGTGTCAGTATCACGTAGTTGAGCCTTGAACACCTTGAGCTAAACGAATTATTAAGCGTTAAACAAAATATATAGGTCTTTCAAAATTTTAACTAATTGACTCATGCCTCATTGTTAATTTAGTATATGTTAATATAGTAAATACATAACGTTAATTTAATAACACACAAAAAAGTCGTTGCAAAAAAAAAGTTGCATTTCGTTATTTCAACCACTACTTGTAATAAAAGTTTAATTTGTGTTAATTTTTTAATTAATAAGTTTAAGTAACATTTATTTCGAATTGTATTCTACTTTCTATATTATATAGAAAAAAATTAACACATTAGAAAAGATAAGGCATAGTTTTTATTTTCTCGGTAACTCTAGAGACAGCGGCAACCAGGAAACGGCAACTCTGACCTAATAAAGTTGCAGGTTGCTTCAATTTCCTATCTAGCTGTAAACTGATGGTATTTTTGGAAATTTCGCAAAATTTTCTATGTTCATAAATGTTTGCGTAATTGTGATAATATTACAGTGACAAATAATCGTTACATCTTGTATATTATCTAAACCTGTATTAAAATCACAGACAGATAAATATTATAAAATGGTAAGTTGGGTGTTACATGGTTATTACTTCATCTTTAAAACTCGTACAAATCCTATATTTTCAAATAATATTAATAATTTAATCGTTTTTAACTTCATAATAAGTTTTTACAACTAGAATATATATAATGTTTTTAGCTATAATTTGCCGGCATGTAGCCATTTTGCGGATAATGGCCGGCTCGGCGCCATGTCGTGCTGTCGATCACATGTTTCTCTTTTACGATATAATTTTAGAATTTTAAAATAGTAATTCCACATTTAACTACTAATTTCAAGACGAAAGTTCTATAACTCCATTATCCGCCTCCTTTTCATAAAACCAAATTTTAAAGTATAAACATTACGCCCTCGAAGGCAAATTTATAATCGATATGGCTCATTACTCCCTAAGGCAATTATATCCTTGAAATATAAGCAAGTTAATCTTATGAAGAAGTTAACCTGATATGAAAATGTTAGATGGACGGCGTGGTGCACCCACATCCGGGGGTGTTACACGGTGGTGTACCGGGAGTGGTGCACGGCATGCCGGTACATGGAGCAGGGCCCGACGGTGAGCATGTGCCCCACGGTCCACGTCGTCGCTACCAGAACAGACCTAAACCATCTAACAACTTGGAGCGCTTGCCTTTGGATGAGGCTGCCAAAAGGGTTTGTTACTATTATTCAACTTATATTCATCATCATCATTTCAGCCTGTTTGAGTCCACTGCTGACCATAGGCCTCCCCCACAGACTGCCATGAAGCACGATCCTGAGTCACCTGCATCCATCAACTTCCTGCGCACTATTATGACATATAAATTAAATGGGTTGTCTATTGAACAATTGTGGATGTATTTATCAAGAGGAAATAGGCTTTACTACCATTAGACAGTTTGGCATTGAATGCATAATAGTAAATTTGCATAATGGGTAGTGCAACTGTCTCTTTTGTCAGAAGGTGTGGGTTCAATCCCCACTACTGGAAAAATATTGTGATAAACATGTTATTCAATTGTCTGGTTGTATCATAAATATCTTCTAAAGGAACTAAGCACAGTCAAAAAGTTAAAAAATAAATGAACCTAGAGTTGAAGCATTCTATTTCAAATTTATTTATACCAATTATTAAAATTGTTCCATTTCTTATTAACTTGATTAAATGCATGCCTTAATCCTTAGGAAATGGAGTCCCTACCTACTAAGACTCCAGTGTCAGTGTTACAAGAATTATTGGCAAGGCGTGGAACAGTTCCCAAGTATGAACTAGTGCAAATAGAGGGAATGATACATGAGCCAACTTTTCGCTATAGAGTAACAGTGGCTGATTTAGTAGGTAAGCAAAGTGCTCTTACAAATATAATTAAATTTATACAGCAATAGATCTCTTAAACACAAATCAATGAATGAGTAATATTCACAAGTTTAGATGTAGTTAGAGATTTCTAATCTTGAATTTCTCCAACTCCAGACATTTCAACATTCCTCATCCTCACTTTCATCCAATAAATCATTTTTGTTATGGTACTATATTTAAATTTTTCCCTGCCTGGAATTTTTTATCCTATTCTTATTGTTATGGTTATAAATTTTGCTTGATTTTGAAGTTATACTAAAGAAGTATAACTTCTTATGTGCATACATAATTACACACACTATGTATTACACATATACATAAATAACACATACCATATCAAATAACAATGAACACCTAATTAAATCAATTAACTAATTACTAATAAAATAACAAAGTAAAAAGCTACTTATTTTACACTTTTATGCTACTTATTTTCTTCATAGTAAATATTAAACAATTTCTTCAATCAAAATTTGTTTTCTTTAAAACTTTCAATTACCAGCTAAATTATATATAATGATAAGAATAAAAACTGATATGATTATTCAAAGAAAAAATTTAAACTAATTGTTTATTTAATGTCTTAGATTGCTTAAATGTTTTTAATGTTAATTATAACCTTAACCATTTACACAGCATGTCGTTACAAATGCGACAATAAATTAACACACGTCTAACGCTACTTGCGTTTTATATTTTTTTATGATTATTAATCATAAAAAAATATAAAACGTTATAAAAGTCCATAATTAAAAAGATATATTTTTCAAACAAACTAATTAAATAAAAAAGAAACAAAATTTATAACATCCTATACATCTACAACTGACTGGTTCATACGTTCAGAGACTTTTTCATTCGTTGCCGCAGCGTCGCACTACAAATATCTCCTAACAGTATGTTTTATCTCTATCAAATTCATTCAACCCATTCATATGGTTTGTGACGTTTACAAATGAACTTTACGTTACCGTTTTATACGTAAGGTTGTTCTAAATTTGTTTGTTTTGTAAAATTTTATAACTCATTAAATATTTATGTTTAAAGAATGTAAATGTTTAATACAATTTTAAAACGTTATCCTCTATATGTGTGTTCATTTATTGTCGCGTTTTAACGACACGCTGTATAATATACTGGTGACCTGCCCTGGCTTCACACGGGTGCAATGTATGTGTGATTCAATTGAATTTCTCAGCTTTTCTCCAATACATTTTGCATAATATGTATACTACATATAAACCTTGAACTTGAATCACACTATCAATTGCTGAAAACCACCGTAAAATGCATTCCATGGCTTAAAAAATCTTAATGTCCCGTTTCTGAAACACTGATCATCATAGAAGTCTACTAATCAGCTGTCAAATTGATTTTCAAATGTTATTTGAGTTGCCAAAAGGATTGTTTAACTCTTTAAATTGATCAGAATGATGAAATCCTAATCTTTTTATGGTCAACTCTGATATGACATGTACTGAAATAGTTGGATAATTTGATTACTTTGTTTTTATGCCATAATTGCATCCATTAAGAAATTATTTTTCAGAATAACATAAGCAAGGGTTTCATTCTTATTAAACAAAAAATATGTACCTTGTATGCAGTGCTAATGTGGTCCGGGGGCAAGTGTGGCAATCTGTCAAATATACCTATTTATTTATGTTTAAATAAACATGACGTCCCAAATGGCATAGTAGGTAGTGTACCTGCCTTCTGCATCAAAGGGTGTGGGTTCAATCCCCACTACTGAAAAACTATTGTGTGATGAACATAGGGTTTTTCTAGTGTGTGGGTCTTTATATATGTATTATATGTATTTATCTACAATAGAAAAGTATGTTTAACTATGTTTATCAGTTATTTATTACACATAGTACAAGTATTGCTTAGTTTGGGACTAGAGAATGTTGTGTAAAAATGTTTCCTAAAATAGCTATTTATTACTAGCTGACCTGGCAAACGACTTTTTTGCCATATAAATTATTTCTAGGGAATTTGTGAATCTGAATGCATAGAAAAATAATTTTCCGAACGCACCCATAAACTTTGTTTGATAGGTAGGAACAGTTTGTATAGGAAAATAAAATTGTAGTTTCTTCGATTTTCCATGAAATTTTTCGTAATTTCTCACAGTTCAAACCTTCCCTGGACTGGCACAAATATTTCAAAACCAAAATTAGCCAAATTGCTCCAGCCGTTCTCTAGTTTTAGCAAAACTAATGAACAGCAATTAATTTTTATATATTATTATATAAGATTTATTTATTACACTGTCTTATTATGTTACAGCAATGGGCACTGGTCGATCAAAAAAGGAAGCAAAGCATTCTGCGGCCAAGGCTTTGCTTGATAGACTTACTGGAGCTGCTCCTGCTGATCAGTCAACTAATGGCAATGTCCCTGAACAGTAAGATTTATTTTGTTTTAAAGTGAGAAACAGGCACTGAGCTGGAGGTTAATTGATAAGCGCCGCACATGAAATTTGCGATACTCGTAGGGTTGCCGATGCATTGCCACCTTTTAATAAAGTTGGCCCTCTTTACCTCACACACCAGACGAATCGCAAGTATTAGGTCATTACATAATATGAAATTAGCGTTTTGTACGGGAGTAATATAAAGTCGATTTTTTGTAAAAATGTTTAATTAAATCTCATAGGTAGTTCATTTTTTCCTTGTAAGAAGTTGTCCAAATTCCGGATTGTTAATTGCGATTAACCAATCTCGGTTGTTTAGCAGCTAGGTTTTCTATCCTGGTTTGCAGTTGCTGACAATAGATATCTAATGTAATCATCTGGCCAGAATTGTGTCCAGCCGTCTGTAGTGAACGACACCGGCGCTAGTCCACCCAACACTCACAAGTAACTTTTTCTTAGTCACTTTTCGTTTTGGGCAACATTTGGCTGGGTCTTCAGGGTTCAGCGATTGCGCCGAGCGTTACGATTATCGTACCACTTTTCATCACAAGTAATGATTCAACCCTTCATTAATGCCTCGGTTGAGCAAAGTAACACAGTGTTTACAAATTCGATTCACTCAATTCATGAAGTACCCACCATTCAAGGTTTTTATTTTCACCATTTGCTTCAAGTGGAATAATACAGTTTTATCACTTACTCCGAGGCCTACAGCTATCTCTGAACTGCTTTGTGATGGATCCGCTTCCACAATAGCCTTTAATTCTTCATTTTCCAGTTTGGTCTCCGGCTGTCCAAGGGGTTGGTTCTGAACCTCAAAATTTCCAGAACGAAAACGTTGAAACCAATAACGTACCCTGCTTTCTTTTGCGACACCAGCGCCGTACACAGCATTAATCCTTCAACCTGTTTCTGCAGCACTGTTGCCACCGTAGAACTCGTACTCGTAAATATACCGAGTCATGTTTTCCGTTATGCGGTATTAAGCGACGCCAAAGAATAAAATAATGAGGAAGAAACAAATGAATGACTGTTTACAAAACTCAAATGTACCAGCTAAATGAATTTATAAATTTGAATTTGGAATTCTTAACCAAAGAGGAGATATTTCAGATCAAAGCGGTCAGTATGACAAAACGCTAATTTCATACATAAGGACCTAATATAATACTTCCGCTTCATGCTGTTTCTCTGTGAGATTAGTACCCCGGACATACCTGCCCATTCATACAACAGCAGAAGCTGATGTGTGCCCTATTATTCATTCATTCATCGATCATTAAAAAAGTTATTAAATATTTGTTAATATGTATCTTACCTTATAATTGAAAGTTTCTTTATTTGTATGCTACCTAAAGCATTTTCGCTTTTTACAAAATATATAACTCAATTGTAGTGTTAAAGTACTATTTTATTTTAAAGGGGAGCAGTAGTGTCACTGTTTGAAGATAAGCTTATGGGCAATCCTGTAGGCTGGTTGCAGGAATTGTGCATGTCTCGATTCTGGCCTCCACCATCTTACCACGCAGAAAATGATGATAATTTAAATAGACGTGAGTAACTAATGTCATAAGTTGTCTATAATTCAATTACTGGTTTTAGTTATAGCTTGATGTCTCTGTAATCTTTGCAGTTTATACAGCGTGTCTTTACCATCGCGACAATAAATGAACACACTAACTTTTAAAATTGTATTAAAGATTTACATTCTTTAAACATAAATATTTAATGAGTTATCAAATTTTCCAAAACAAACAATTTTAGAACATCCTTACGTATAAAACTTTAATGTTAAGTTCATTTGTAAAGGTCACAAAGCATATGAATGGGTTGAATGAATTTAAAAGAGACAAAACATACTGTTAGATGGAGAGGCTTGTAATGCGGCGCTGTGGCAATGAATGAAAAAGTCTCTGGATATATAAATCAGTCAGATGTAGTTGTATAGGATGTTACAAATTTTGTTTCTTTTTTACTTAATTAGTTTGTTTGAAAAATATTTTTTTTAATTATGGATTTTTTTAATGTTAATATTTTTTTATGATTATTGGCAGTTAGCCTTAGACGTGTGTTCATTTATTGTCGCGGTGGTATTGACACGCTGTATATAAATAAAGCAAGTAACATTGTAGGTATTATATGACCCAGAAAATAAATGTGAAAAAAGCTTATTTAATAAAAATAAAGGGAACAAACACAAAAGGAACAACATTTTTGACCTCTAACAAAATTGACAAGAAACTAAATCTAATGAATAAAATCTAAACAATAACGTTATCGCCTTCATATTCCTTATTATCCACATATTATTTTAATAACCTCAACAGCCTTGAAATGGGCAATAAGATCGATCATAATTAGGTATATAAGCGATTATAATATTGAATTGATATAAAAACTTTGCCATAGGTTTACCCCATGAACGTCAATTCACAATTATTTGCACCCTTTTGAAACGTAGAGAAGTTGGTACTGGAAAGTCTAAGAAACTAGCAAAACGACAGGCTGCATACAAGATGTGGCAAGCACTGAAGGATAACCCACCAGAGTCTTTTCAAAATGAAGAGGAGGTGAGTTTCCTTTGTAAGCAACAGCTAACAGTCCTTTTAAATTTATTGTTAAAAATTTATGAAGAGTATAAGATACAAGATATTTAAGTACATATTGATATGCCTAAGTTTCAAAGAAGAATGTCTACAAAATTTGAGGGACAAAGCAGTTTCAAAATCATGGGACCATTGGATTTTACATTAATATTCACTTGATAATTGTGTTTATGGGAGTTCTTGATATCTAGCTTAAAAGGTGTTTGTTAATTATCCTAGTAAATAATCATGAACTTTATCATGTATATACCTAATAAATAATCAATAATAATAATTCATATACCTATTATTATATACAACCCCGACTTATAGTCACACTTCTTCTTTCTTTAATAAGTGGCTTCTCTTAAAAGAATTCTGCCAACATCATGTCAGTCAAGGGAGTGACGTTTATATTTATAATCATTTTACTCTTATATAGTTGCACTTGAACACAGATATAGAGGATAACTTTTTAAAATTGTATTAAGCATTTACATTCTTTAAACATTAATATTAACCGAGTTATTAAATTTTACAAAACAAACATTTTTAGAACATCCCTTATGTATAAAACTGTAACGTAAAGTTCATTTCTAAAGGTCACAAATCATATGAATGGATTGGATATTTTTTTTAAAAGAGATAAAACATACTCTTAGAAGGAGACTTGTAATGAGAACAATGGAGCGACGTTGTGGCAACATATCAAAAAGTCACTGAATGTATGAATTTTTTTTTTGTATAGGATGTTACAAATTTTGTTCCTTTTTTATTTAATTACTTTGTTTGAAAGTAGTTAAATAAAAAGTTTTCATTATCGTATGAAATCTGGAACAAAATGCATTTTCACTGTCAGATGTACACTATATATACTAAAGGAAATAAATATTCTTAAAAACATATAGATGTAAGAAAACTTATTTTTGTAAGCCGAAAAAGCTTCTTAGTAAGATTAAATGGATTTAAATTCTAGTTACAAACTCTAATTTTTGAGTTCTGATTTTTATCTAAGAGAAAATATCCATTTTGCTGGCCAATAAGTTTTCTTATGTTTACATAATATCTTTCAGCTTTCTGTGTGAAGTAATAACCAAAAGCCCATTTAAAATGCTAGTGGTTCTTTTGTATCATTCTTTTGGAAGATTAGTAGAACTTGGCCAGGTGTTTTACTATCTTTCGGATGGCTTCTACAATATTGAACAGAACAGGGTTACTGTAAATTTGTGTCAATCTTAATAACTCGTGTTTGATGTTCTAGGGCGGCGTCGCGGCCCGATATGCCGATTTGAAAGATAGTAAAATCTCTACACTAACTACAAGTCACAGCCACAAGGTGTCGCAGTTTCACAAACATCTCAAACAATCGGTGGGCCCTAACCTGGCCAAGTTGCAGGTATGCTAAATTACCATTTAATCATATTGATGTTTGCTTATTTTTCTTATATCTGTTAATATGTTTATAATTATGTAGTTAGTGTATGATCACTATCAGTTTGTCACTCAAAATGTGCGACCGAGGTTTCGATCTCGGTTCCAGTCATTCTCAGTTTAAAATCAGGCCGATCTCTTGATGTAAAAACACTGACAATATCATTTGTCTTACAAATTTCTTTCAGCCTCACCAACAAGCATTAATTAATAAATAATAAATAAATAAATATTTTAGGACACATTCTTTTTACATAACATTCTCTAGTCCCAAACTAAGCAATGCTTGTACTATGGGTACTAGAAAACTGATAGACATACTTAAACATACTTTTCTTTTGTAAATAAATACACATTATACATACATAAACACCATTGTCAGTAACCAGTGGACAGTTATTTATTAAAGCTGATTAATTATATGATGAATGGATGGATGCAATGCTGAAAAAGTACTTTTGTTATTAGATGAATTAGTTCCATTCAATATTGTCCATATCATTTGAATATTTTTGATAAAAGAATCTTTGCTTGGAAATAACTTTGTATAATTTACAACAATATTTAACATTGCAGCATCATGTTTGTCTCAGCTGAAAAGTACCAAGTACTCAGTTTCTGCCAAGATAAAAAAATAAGACTCAGTTGGACCTCCCTTAATATCTTGATTAATTGTTTTGTTTGCAATCAATGCTTTTTTTAAAGTGGTTGTATATTCATTAACAGGTTACACCTCTAAATAACAAGGACTTCAACTTCGTACAGTTTTTACAAGAGATAGCATCTGAGCAGTCCTTTGAAGTAACTTATGTGGACATAGAGGAGAAATCTATGACAGGGCGTTGTCAATGCCTTGTACAACTGTCCACATTGCCTGTAGCTGTCTGTTATGGATCGGGCCTTACCAGTAAGGATGCACAGTCATCGGCTGCCCAAAATGCTCTGGAGTACCTAAAGATAATGACGAAGAAGTGAAACATCCCTTACGCGCGGCATCACATATTCATGCTTAGTGGCAGTCTACACTTTTGACCATGATTAATTTCGAAACCAATGATCGAAAATGATTTGCTCTGAATGAAGGGAAGTTGAGCCAAACTGTAGAGTAGGAGCATAGGGTGCCACTGTGATGGGTTGAAGACGATGTCGCCACGTTGGGATCTACGCAACTTCATCACCACTTCCCATTTGAACTTGGCTGTGTGCCAATATGCTGTTATCACTTCGGGCTATGCTATATAATTGGCATATTTGCAGTGCATTTGTCCAAAGATTAGTTATTTCAAGACCTTAATTTGTAATTCTGCATGAATGTTAAGATAGATATGAGTTGCTCTTCTATTAAATTTTTATCTCCTCTTCACCAGCGCGGTCAAAGGTCATTAACAATGAGTTTTTATTGTACACCAGAATATTTCACAGATCCTCAATTTTTTCCTACTTAGTTGACACTTATCATTACCTACATTTTAGATAATTCACACAATATCTTTATCTATTATGGCCTGTGTTATTCTGATGTATAAGCTATATTATTGTAAAGTTACATTAAAATGTATTCAGTAGTTTTTGTGTGAAAGAGTAACAACGATCCATCCATACTTACAAACTTTCGACTTTATAATATTAGTAAGGAGTAAGGATGTAAAATTAAAACAGAATATAGATCCATGGGACTCTACTTTTCAGTGTATGTGGTTATTTGAGACAATTCATTTGTAACAAAACGAAACAGTGGCAGCTTGCCTCTGCACTATGTGGCACTGATTCTACCAACATATCATGTTGCAAGCTCGTTACTGTAAATATTCCTTTTAATTTATAGAAAAATAAATTGCAAAATTTCGGTAACGAAATAATTATAATGGTATAAGTATGAAGTTCCTATTAATTTAATATTTTAAATATCTTTTTCATACTATATTAATGTAGCTGTTACAGCTATATAGCTATAGTAACAGCTACATTAATGCTGTATCAAGCTAGTACCGAGTAGCATATATATACTACTCGGTACTTGCTTGATTGATAGTGAAAGATACTAACAGCTTTAACTGGAAAGTTAAAGCAAACCTATATGGCATAGAACATCATTTCATATTGAATATTATCATGTCTATGATTTCTAAAACTAATGTTATCACATTATGTAAAAACAAAAACTCAACAATTTAATTGGAGTTAAATACCATATGTTCATTATTACATAAATTTTTATAATTTGCACTGTCACTGCTAATGTGCGAATAAATAGCATAGCCCGTAAACTTCGAAACAAAGTATGGAGTGGTCATATTACGAAATACAAGCTATACTTTGCATAGAATTAGTGTAATTTTCCCAGCGTGGAAATTACTCAATAAACTTATAAAATGTAAAAAAAAATATTAAAAGATATAAAAAATTATAAAAAAAGTGTGGATTATTTCCAGTTTAATATTCAGCATTAATTAGCATGTTTTGCATTCATAATTAAACTAAATTATTATCTACTTGTCCAAATTCTAAATCTTAGCTTTTAATGTGTATTTATAATCATTGAATATAGCCGATTGTACCTTAGTTAAACAGTCAGTTTCTTGTTCCTGTTATTCTTTTGTTTAGTCTGGTGTGTTAAGGATTTTCTAACATGCTGAGCATTAAACGGAAACAAATTTCTCAGCTGGTTTAGTCTTGTTGACGAACTGCCCGACCTTTGCTTTTGTAATAACTTCCAGTGTTGTAGTCAAAATTTACAAAGTGCAAGGGTTGGAATTTGCAGGTAACCTGAGTTTTGCGGCATGAAATTGACTATTTCAATAATTACCAGTGGACAAATAGGTTTTCTTTTGTGTACATGATTGAAAACTTTGCAGGGAAGCTGAGAACTATGCGTTAGGGAGGAATATATTACTGGAATTAACGGTTGCGAAGTTAGGATCCCTTGCCTGTGAAAATGGGCATTATTTTAATGCAAAGTATAGAGGTTGTAACATTTTCTACCTGTACAGTATCGTCGTCTTGCTGTCATTTGCCCGCAATGACGAGGGTCCTGCACGCACCCAGTTTCTTTTAAATTGAATGGTGTGAGTTCAGCCTGCCCTTGTAAAAAGCATCGCACTGTTCAAGTTAGAAAAGACTAATTGGAGTAAAGGAATGGAGTTCTGTTCAACCAAGACCAACTAAATAGAATTATAATGTCCGACCATCGAGGCATCGAAGTTCACCTATTATGTTTATGTTTAGTCAGTCTTGGTTTTACTTAAATAGATTATATCAATATTGTCGTTGTAGTTCACACATTTCAATTTCGCTCTTTGCTAGTTGTAATGAAATTATTTAAAAATGTAATAAAATGAAGTTTTTGCTCTTAATGATTTTTCTTGCTCGAATTTAATAAAGTTTGGTGTTGCTTACTCATTTTCTATATATTTTCCTAATACAAATTGATTTAAAAATGTATTTTATTTAACCTTCAATTTTAGTTTCTGTACTTAAGATAAAACTGGAAAATTTGTAGATCAAACTCGCAAAATTTCACCTCTGCCTGTATTCGAACTTGGCCTTCGGGATTATTTCTTCACTTGCGGAAGCTAATCTACATCACCACAACCTATTGGGTTTAAAAAGGTCTAGGAAATGAACAGTCAATGCTATTTTCCCTTATTTATTAATATATGCAACAATCTTGCAAATTAATGAAACCCAAACAGTGCAGTTCGTAAAAAAAATATCTACACGTTATTTCCGATATTTGAAAACATTTTTACGAGAAAATTTGAATTCATTCAGTTTAGATTTTCTAACAATCACTTGAGGTCTGAAATTAATACAGCTATTGTTACGTATTATGTCAAAGGATTTGTAATTATCAACATGTACATCGTCGCATGCCAACGTCCATGTTTCTACTTCCTTCGAAGACTGTTTTACGGACTTTTTGTTTCCATTATTAAAGTTTCTATTTAAATTTTTCAACGTGAAATCTTGTTTAATATTAGTAGATGGGGCCTCCATATCACACAGTATTTTGTTTTGACCAAATGAACTATAATCGTCACGGAATTGTGATGGTGGGGGAATAATATCTTCCTGTTTTAGGCATTCCAAAATAGTTTTCGGATTGAACATACTTTGGGTCAAGTCATCGTTTAATAAATTTGTTTGTTCGAATTTAGGTTGAAGGAGGTATTCAATGTCAGCGTTCTCAGTAAAATTGTTTTCATATTTTTCTTCTTCATTATCTTCATATTTTTCCATCGTTACATTGGTTTTATCTTCCTTTAGATCCTTTCTTATTTCAGACGTGAAATATATTGGCATTTGTGGCTCAACTTGGCTGTTCTGGAACTCCCAGTTGGGCTCTTGTAAACTTGGTAAGTCAGTTATTTTGAAAGGTCTTTTTATTTTTTCGTTTTGTGGTAATTCTGCGTTGCTAGTGGTCGTTAACTTTTTTCGATAGACTGTTTCTTTTATTGCGCTGGGTTTTCTGGAAAATCAATAGTTATACATATAACATAGGAGTAATAAAAAGTGATAGCGGTGACATCGGTTTTCTCCTGGACCATTGGTGAATGTTACCTATAGAATATGTAAGGTTTTATTCTTATAACCAAAACGTTGGCATGTGTACCCTTCTACCCCATCGGCATCGCAGTTTTCATAAGTTTCGTTTTCATAACTTCGTCTGCGCCAAATCTGTTATTATTGGTTTCAATTGTATTTTCAAACGCCAAATTTCTTTAAAACCTAGATCCCGATTGCACCTACCGTGTGTAATTGTATTTATTATGCACCCACCGGATCCATATGTTTGGACTTTTAACATAGCAACATCTATTGGATACTCAATCCAGCCGATAAATTTATCGCCATCTGTTAGAATCTTATGGAACTCACAGATAACTTTTTGTCATATAATAAATAAATATTTTAGGACACATTTTGTACACAATGTTCTCCAGGCCCAAACTAAGCAACGCTTGTACTATGGGTACTAGAAAACTGATAGACATACTTAAACATACTTTTCTTTTGTAAATGAATACATATTAAACACATATATAAACACCCAGACACTTGTAAAACACTGCTCATCACAGAATATTTTCACAGTAGTGGGGATTGAACCCACGCCCTCTGGCGCGGTACACTACACAATACGCCATTCGGGTCGTCTAAACAAAAAACTTGCAATTAACAAATATTTCGACTATAAATTAAGATACATACCGTTATATCTCTCAATTTGGATCAAATTGTGCATACAGTGCAAAATTCGATTAAAATCGGTTCAGTGGTTTACTTTATCGCGGACAAACAACGTGATACGAAATAATTATAGTTAATAAGTTCTATTATTACACTCGTTTATTTTCAATGTAAAAACAGTTATTTTACCTTGACATAATATTCTTGTATTTTTCGATAATGTTATAAATAGACCGATTATCGTGCCCACAAGAAGCTGATTCTTCTTTTTTTGCATAATCAGTAATTTCAACAATTTTATTTTCACTTGCTAAGTCCTGTTCCAAATCTTTTTGTTCAATGACTCTTGGATTGTTATTCCTAATATCATCAGAAATATACGTTTCATGCAAGGGACTCTGCGAGTTGCATGAATCATGGCACTGTGATTGAATTAAATTTATATTAGCGGGCTTTATTTCGTTATCATATTCATTTTGTTTATGTTTATGCAAATCATTTTTATGTTTTACTGATGTACCAATTTCTGTTATGTCGAAATCCAATTTAATTTGTCTCATAATGCTATACCTTTGTTCTAGAGCGTTTTTCACATTTAGATGACATTTAGTTGGATTTTTTTTATTACAAGTAATCTCTTCGGATAATGCATTACTTAAATCGTCGCAGACGTATGTTTCAAAAGTATTATTACATCCGGCAGCGGTTAGGTATTCCAAATCTAATTTTACATTGCATTTGAATTTCCTTTTATCAATTCTCTCTACTTGATCAAAAGTAAAAATATTAGCACTATAAATGCTTGGAGCAGAAGGAAATTTTCGAACTGGGGGATTGTGTTCAAACACATGATTCGGTATGTTCGTCATGTATGTCGTTTTGCTTATGTTACATTTAATATGATTGCCATTAAAACTACCATCTTTAAATATGTTATAATAACTGTTAAATATAGGGTCGAAGTTATTTGTTTTCGTGTAGCTAAAAGAAGCACTACGTTCCGTATTGCTACGAAATATATTTTTTTCATTAATTACTTGCTGAACTACTCTATTATAAAAAACATTATCTATACTATTCAGATAATAAGCTGCATTATCATTTATACTTTTTGCTAATGTTTTCTCAGACTTTGATGCAGCACTCTGAGTTCCTGGAATATTAACAAAATTACGAAGAATGTTATTGTTATTTTCCTGTTTTTTCAAAATTTCATCTCTACCATTAGGCCCATTTATGCTGACAGAATTTGTGATTTGACCAGTTCTTTCTTCTGGTGATATTTTTAAGTCCAATATTTTATTTTTAACCTCTTTGGAGCTACCGGTGCAAATATTTGGTGCATTATTATAACTTTCAAATATTTTTAAAGCGACATCATCTTGGTTTACTACTATTGTTTCACTTTTCTTTTCTGTTTCATTATTAATGGTTTTACTTTTACACCCTATTTCTTCATTGTGCTCTATTTCTAATAAATTTACTACACTGTGTTCAAGTATCTTAGTTTTTAGTTTAGTTTTTTCTAAAAACATATCGATATGCCCTTTAACACTATCAACAAAAGAATTTTTTTTATTATCAATAACAACTTCCTCGTTGTTGTTCTTGGTGTTGAATTTTCTTTCTATGCCATCAATGAAATTAAAATTTGACTTGGCAATTTTTCTGTTTTTGTAACTAAAATCATTATGAATTACATTTTTATTAGCATATGCAATTTTGTTTGATTGTGTATTTTCTGCATTCAACTGACTGTCAAGCCAATCCTTGCCGTATATTTCTCTTTCTATTTCCTTCAAAATACAATTTATTTGGTTATCATCCTCGAAATCATCTTTATTAATTTCATCAATAATTTTAGATTTAATATTTTTTATATTATGACGATTTTCTTTTTCATCTGTATTTAAATCTTCTTCATTTGCTATATTCATCTCTCTTTGTTGCTTTTCTAAATAGTTGTATGAATTTATTTCAGAATTCACTCTTCCATTATAAGTATCTTCGAGTATTTGCTGTAAGTATTCTGAGTTATCCCTAACATCATAACATTTCTTTTTTTCTACTGATTTCACGTCTGCGTCACATTTTTTCCTTTTGCGTACTTTAAAAGTATCAGTTATGGCAGATTGCTTCACATTTTTTCCCTTAGATTTTATTTCTTTTGGTGAACTTGCCCCAGTGTCTTCTGCTTGCGATGCATTTAAATCTTTATATTTATATTCACAATGAACGTCAATACCCACTGAAATAAATTAATATTTTAAGATAAATCTCGTTACGCTTCTTATCAACACCCTATGAATTACGAATAGTTTAATTTAAATGGAAATGCAACACAATTTTAAAACCGAATATTTTTTCCTACAATTGATTTCATAACATCTGGGATAAATATTATGAAAAATAAATGATGTTAAGAAACTTAAATAATGAATATTATTAAATAGAATAATTTATAAAAATTATGTTGACTGATAATATTTATTTTAAAGCTTCGTATGTACATCACACGAGTAAATCTGTCCACCATGTATCTATCTTTTATATATCGATATCTATATTCTACACCACTGATATTAATTTCATTAACATTTGTTCATTTATTATATCTATTTTTTTATTTGAATTTCACGTTTAGAGGTAGGTTCGTGATTATTTTCTATCGAGAAAATATATCGAGAATATGTTTTGAAAATGGACCATAGTTTAGAGTGTAAGATCAAGATTAACACATATTTTTTTGCTTCTATAAAATGTATAGATTTTGTTAAAAAATTTTTTGAAAAACCTCTTTTTACTGCGTACAGCGCCTTAAAAGTTCTTTCATATTTTATATAATCTTAATATATCATCTTTCATATTTATTATACGTGCCTCAAAGCGAAAAAGTATTTCAATACTAAGTTTAACTTGACATTAGCTGATGTGGCAAGTTTTGTGGATTTAACGTTTGATTCCGTTAGGACATTATATTTCAACATTCTTGTTGTATTTATTAAATAAATATACAGGTTAAATAATTATTATTACAGGCAACACATTTTTCCAATACCTTCACATTTAGCACTAAAATATACAGCGTGTCGTTACAACCGCGACAATAAATGAAAACACGTCTAACGCCTGCCAATAATCATAAAAAATATAAAACGTTAAAAAAATCCATAATTAAAAAATGTATTTTTCAAACAAACTAATTAAATAAAAAAGAAACAAAATTTGTAACACCCTATACAACTACAACTGACTGATTCATACATTCAGAGACTTTTTCATTCGTTGCCGCAGCGTCGCACTGCAAATCTCTCCTTCTAACAGTATGTTTTATCTCTTTTAAATTCATTCAACCCATTCATATGCTTTGTGACCTTTAAAATGAACTTTACGTTACAGTATTATACGTAAGGTTGTTCTAAAAATGTTTGTTTCGTAAAATTTAATAACTCGGTAAATATTGATGTTTAAAGAATGTAAATGCTTAATACAATTTTAAAAAGTTATCCTCTATATGTGTGTTGATTTATTGTCGCGGATGTAACGACACGCCGTATAATGATGGTGTGTGAAATGTCAGAATATTAGATTATTTTAAATGGCGAAAGCCTTAATTCATAGGTTTACTCCGAAGAAAATTTATCATTTTATAATATATATTTATATGGATAACTCACCAAAACTTGAACTTATACAATGTGCGGTAATTTTGTGGTCAAAATTATGTATCCTCGTAATATTTAGCGTAATTTGTCCATCGTAAATGCCTATCAAATCTTTATCTCTGTAATAAAAGTACTTCGGTGTATTTAAATATTTAAAAGATTAAATTAACCAATTCAAAAACTTTTATTAAACTTTCATATTTAATCTTATAAAAAGCACGATAGGAAATAATTGTCAAAGATGAGAAATATCTGTTGCATTAGGTCTCGCATAGGTAGCTATTTTTGATCTTCTTATCGTTCGGAATTAATAAAAAGAGAAAGGTTTAAAATAATTAAGATAAGTAAAATGTCAAGTACTTTTGTGTGCGAAGAGTCAAAGGTATGAATATAAAATATTTAGGTATAAATATATAAATCGGATTATAATCCGATCTTAATTAATACAATGTTTTATACGTACTTGAAGGTGGTCAATAATAAGAGACAGTTCTCGGTATCTCCAATTATAATATAACATTTGTGATTGACCCCAGCTGTTAAATGGTCCATATTTTCAGCCAAATACGCCTTATTTAATAATGTGAGTTTTATTATTAGGGTACTTGAGTTTCCTGCTGTGATTGTGAACTGATATTTGGGCAGTAAACTAATCTGTTTACGCAAAATATTACCCGTTGGTGGGCCTTTATTCATTATCTGAAAGTGAAAACCTTTTTATATAATATGTCGATTGCCTTGTTTAAGGTACCCGCTAATTGTGCATGAAAGTACAGCGACCAATTTCATAAAGGTTATAGTATAAGCCCTAAGTCTGAAAACTAGAATAAGAAACAAAAACTTAACATCTAGATCTTGTATTTATTTCATTTTATTACGTTTCAAGCTACCAATTTTTTGTACATTCGGCAACAAAAAGATCATATTATTGTAATAATATTAACATATTATTATTATTGCGTTTGACATTATTCATTAGCATAAAATGGCGGTAATTAATTTCGATCCTAACAGAACTGCAGATTATAAAGCATGTTTCTTACTTATTACTTATAATAGCAAACGCAGAGCATACGAATCCTCTTCACAAAGATACTGGTTGTTTTTTGATCTCTGCTGTTCATCTTATTTTATGTGATTACCACCGCTCATGCACATACACCACATAAGGGGTTGCAGATGCACTGTCGAACTTAAATAGTGGGCCCCGGCTACCTCACTCACCAGATGAAACGCAAAAATACAATACTTCACACAGGTCATGAGGCATCTCCCCAACGAACCTGCCCATTCTTCTAACAGCAGAAGCTGCTGCATGGCCCCGTATGTTTTATCAACGATTCAGGTAAGCGAATAAACTTGAATGCAAACAATTATTTTAACAAGTTTACGGTGTGATAATGTTGTGTCTCGAAGAAAACCAATTTCTCAAGGCATAATACGACGAACGTGAATATATTGTATTAACGCGAATTTCTTGCGACTTACTCTTTCCAAATCTCTTGGGTGGCTTTCCTCTAAAAGCATAAAGTTTGATTTGCCAGCTGTGGCAAGCAAAGCACTGAACGTTGGGCCGATGCCTTTCAGCTGTTTGCTCACATACACGGAGTTCTCCCAAAGGTGCGATTCAATACATTTTGCTAGCACTATAGAGTTCAACACTGCCTGATAATTCCGCGGGCTGCCTATTACCTGGTGCGGGCGAGTCACGTAAGCCACCAAACCTTAAAATTGATACGAAAGAAGTTATGTAGGTTTGTATTAAGGCAGAAATGGCATTACGTGACATATAGTGAGAGACGGAGAGGACAAAGCAAATTGCAATTTAATGTTTAGATATTTTGTATTTTGTCATGAAAAATGCAGCTTCCCAAGAACTCCACCTCTATTTAAAGAGTATTTTCATATAAGATCCCAAGATACAAAGGCTTGAAATTGTTTACAAATCTGTTGTAAAAATCTTCTCAAGTTTGAAAAAAGATGTTAACTTCATTACCTACCAACTTTTTTTTATCATGTGTTGGATGATGAATGAATCTCTATGACTTAAATACCATATCTAGTGAATGAAGCATCTCCAGTATACTGAAACTAAAGTACATATAAATAAATCAGAAATTACAATCATATTTCTGAAAAATTGATTAACGAATGTACTTTAAAATGAAATGACAAACTATATAGCTGTTAGCTTCAAAGCATAGGACACATATAAATTACTTGGCCAGATGGCCAGGCAATGCCCGATGAGGCTTGACATTGTTGCTATAAAGGACAACTAATAAGAAAACCTTTTCGTAACATAAACAAAATCCACTTCAAAAATCGCCAATCACTGTACGTTTCTTATTTGATTTTGAGGAATTTCCTGATGTAACTCCCAAGGTCCAAGATCAATCAAATTAATATGGCAACACACGGGATCTAAACCGAACCCGACACAAAAATAATTTTTAAAATCAATTCATAAATTATGGAGTTCTGAGGTAACGAACATAAAAACAACCGAATAAAGATCCTCTTTTTTTAAGTCAGTTGAAAAGACAAAAAGGTACCAATTAGATATTCAGTTATCGCAGAGTTGACATCAGACAACAAAATATTAATGCGGCTGAACGTGCAATTATGTCCTCTAAATTTCGCTAATTGTGTTTAATAAAGGTTAATGTTTCAAATGCTAACCTTTATTAACTTGACAAGAATCGGAACTAATTATTCATTAAAGCTGACTATTACACATTAGGGGAGAGAAAGTGGTCACTTAGTTTTAAGGAAAATGTTAAAAACACTTACATTTGCATATGCGGTCCGCTATTCTCATAATTTTTATAGATTCTTGATTTAGCGACGGCTCGTGGATAGGCAGGCAACCGAGTACAGCTTGAATTATGCTGAAATAGAACGACTTGTAAACGTATTAATTCTATTTCCAAGGCTTATTAAATTCATACACAAGCTTTCAACTCAAAATTATAAGCTTTACTACAATACATAATTGAAATGAAAATTAAATCGTTTTAAAAATCTTCACTTATCCATTTGTTTTTTATATTTCCATTTAAACCTTTTTTTTTTTCTCCACAGTAAATTAAATTTAGATCTTCAATTTATTTACCATTTTATGGACAAAAGGCAGTAGACATTGGGTATCTGGCATCGTGGTCATTTTGTCTAGTAACAAATAGTCTAAAATTTTATTATATTGATTTTACAACAGGACAAAGGCCTTCTAGGTACATTAATCATTAGACAAAATTCGCTTCACGACCCCAATACTGATTGACTCATCTTTTAAATATATTCATTTTTTAGTATTGTTTTTTCATATTCAAGCAGGTTGCCACACGATGTTTTCATCTCAGCCGTCAATGAAATTGCAATATGGTTACACATTACATTTTGGTTCTATCAATCTAAGCTATCACCGCTTTATTGTAATCTTAAGAGTATATAATAGCACTAATGAGTTATATAGTTGGGTTTTAAAGATTAACAGGATATTAAAAGAAAATATATTTTTGATTATACAAGGCATTGCGCAGGCATTCTTATGTGGTCTTATCTACTGAAAAGAAAAATTATTTCATCTAGCTCATCATCTCATTAGCTCATCATTGTATCAGCCTGTTAGAGCCCACAGTACGAGGCTCCACTCGAGAACCTTATTTCCCCAACGGTTAACGGTTCTACGAGCTATATGGCCGGGTCATCGCCACTTCAACTTACTTATCTTCTGAGCTACGTCGGTTACCTTTGTTCTACTGCGGACATCTATGTTACGAACTCTATCACGCCGAGAACTACCGAGCACAGCCCGCTCCATAGGTCGCTGACCGCCTCTGAGCTTCCGTATAAGGCATATTTAAACTAAATTATAGTAAAATAAATTGATGTAATACATTGATACGACGTTCACGTATATACGGAATTTTCTCACCAGTTGAGTTTCATCTGTCTAGTGGCAATCTTTCCCTTCATCGGGAAACGTACAGTCGCCGCCGAGTTGTTCCTATTGAGCGCGTTCAAACATCTCCGCTCGTCGACTCGGAGGTGCATATCAGATAGCTCGTGACTCTCGCATACTATCCATAATAACTGTTCTAACGTCTCATCGCCTTTTATCTAAGCGAAAAGATTTGCCCAGATTGTAGTGGAACGGCGTTTGCATTGCGTTTTTGCTCGTCCGCGATACAAGGATAAAAATACGGCCGCCAACGTTGACATGGGTCAATGTACTTGACATGAAATATAGAGAAACATTAAAATATGGTTGTGGGCACGTTTACTTTTGTGCACGGGTAACTGTAGTAGTTTTGAATAATTTCGAATGATTTTAATGATTCTCTTAGACGGTACATTTCTATATCAGAGTTATGACCAAGTCATTAAGAACTACTACGTAAATATACATAAAAAAGTAAAGTATAAAATATCCCATAGCTGGGCAAAGACCTCTCAGTACAGAGTGTATTGATTGGCGGAGTCCACATATCACATTATTATTATGAAAATACGCAGTTGCCGCACGATGTTTTCCCTACATCGCCGATCACGTGATAAGTCAGCGCTTAAAAATCTACAATTTCATTGCTGCTGGCACTAGGATTTGAACACTGGTACAAGTAAAAAGTAAAGTAAATTAACAGCCTATACATGTCCCACTGCTGGGCAAAGGCCTCCTCTGTACAGAGGGTATCAGGGCATAATCCACCACGCGGCCCCACTGCGGATTGGCGGACTTCACATATCTTCGAAAAATATTTTTTTTTTGTTATTATTTCGAAAATATGCAGGTTTCCTCACGATGTTTTCCTTAACCGCGGAGCACGTGATAAGTCAGCACTTAAAGTTAAAAACTTCATTGGTGCCGGCACCGGGGATCGAACTCAGGTTGCTCGAGTATATTGAATTAAAGGCGAGCGCCCGGCCACTGAGCTATCACGGCTCGAGAAAATGCATGTTTCTAATCGATTTTCTATAATAGTTAAAATCTTAAATAGATTTGTGATTAAAAACATTACGTCTTCACACATATTTAGTTCTAACGTAAGATTCTATAAGTCTCCATGATGCACTAAAGGATCTTCGCCAGTTTAAAAATACTTGCTAACATTTTGGTAGTACAATAAAAAACAAAAAGAGTTAAAGTAAAAAGACGAGTGTTTGAATAAGATACGCAATGCCAGACCTTCCGATGTAAGGATCCTAAAAGCTTTTTTATTAATGGGATCGTGTTACCAAATAATACTATAAGATTAAAAATGAAGGTGCAATTTTGAAATTAAATTATGGAAATATCTGCGACAAATTTCTACTAATGGGTTTACTTTGAATTATTAATTTATTTTTTTTTATATTTTTGTTTTTAACTGCGGGCTGATACCATTGTGAAATAGGAAACGAATAACATTATCGTTTAAAGTCATATATTTATATCTCAGATAAGTTCATATACGTGGGAATTTGATGTATTGCTTGATTTATCGAGAATAAACAATATGTTAAGACATCAATAGTACGCATTAATCACTAGAATTTTTTAGTTCCTAGCAGCCTACAATGGCCCTATTTCATTTCTTTTCAGTGTTGAAATTAATTCTTACTAATTAACGAAATCTTCTTAAGTTTATTTTAAGTGAGGTGGTTTGAAGAGGTCAGAAAATCTTTGTTTCTGCATCTGTTATTTAATGATTAACTCGCCCTTAACCACCAACTGTTGTTGGTGGTTAAGGGCGAGTTAATCATTTTTTGCAGATGCATTGTCAACCTTTAAAATAACTGTGGTCACGCAAAACAGTCTTCTCTGGTGAACCAACAGCTCGATTGCCACCTCATATAAAGAGAAAAAAAAAATCTGAATCACTCTTCGGACGACAGGTGATGTAGAATTTCACCAGACAACGGCCAATACAGAAGAAAGTTGCCAAACATGCAATAAGGGAAGCACCTGCGTGCCACTCCCGTAGTAAAAGTAAATGTAGTACTGTACCTTCAATTAGTCAAACCCTCATTTATTATAATGACAACAAGTATTTCTAATGACTAGAATTAAAATTCTAAAATGACATTCTTTTCTGCACTTACCTTCATTATGTGCTTCATAGTTTCTAGATCCAGATAATATATAGACATCAGACGACCGGCCTCTGTCGACTCTATGCAACTAGCCTCGTCCATCGTTATTAAACCTGAACTTGCTAACCCGTTCATTGCTTTGACACATAGCTCTGTAGAAATATAACATTCGGTTTGTACGATCCACACCATTTGTTTTTTTATAATGTACGATATAGATATTAATTAATTACTCATTTATTTATTTTTTCTGTATATAATTCAATAAATGAATAATTAATAAAAATAATGTGTACAAAGCGGACTTAATGCCATGATTATTATCTTCCAGTCAACTTCTGGTGATCCAGAGATTTCGATAGGTTCATGGATTATAAAATTAAAAATAAAACAAATCTTTGAAATTTTGATAAATCTGTAAATATAATACCTAACACAAAGTACTCTACCAGTCATTTTAAAAAAATAATACATTTCTATGCAATTTTAATATATCATAATATGTAATGTAATTAAATACAAAATACACATACATATTTAAATACATTTATTCACATTTATGTTTAACAATCCAGTGAATCTACTGACAATGTCTTGAGCAAGGTTTTATTAAACGCGAAGCGACTCTTGGCTATCCTGATTTCGGAAGACAGTGCGTTCTACAAAAGAATAGACTGGACAAAGAAACATGAGTGCATGAAACCAGAACGTAGGAGATTAGTAGTGGCGTCGAGCAAAGATTTTTATGATGGGTTGTACAAAGATATTGAAAGTGAGGAGATGAATAGGATGGAGTAGAAAAAGAATCCAGAAAAGATTAGAGTGTTTAATGTTCTAAAGGTGCGGCGTTGGCGAATAAATAACTTCTGAAGTTGAGTACTGACGAAGTGGATATCAGCCGTTTAGCTTAGTGGTTAAAGCGTCAGGCCGCGAATGCCGAAGACGTGGGTTCGATTCCCACAGCGGCGACAATCTTTTCGTGCGTTTTCTACAAATTTTAGTTAATCCAGTTTTTCAGAATCTTAGTATCCTTACTAATATTATAAAGGCGAAAGTTTGTATGCATGGATGGATCTTTGTTACTCTTTCACGCAAATACTACTGAATGGATTTTAATGAAACTATACAATAATATATATATATATATATATATAAGACATAGGCTATAATTTATACCTAATTAAATAATTTTACTTCAACTAACTTTTAATACCACTGCCATTAATAATACTATCTGCTAATTAAGTACGATAAAAAGTCTTAAACAATGATATGTCTTAAAGCAATACAAAACAAAAACTCCTAATAAGAGCACTTGAATGCTGCTGGTGACAATTAGATGCGTAAAACCTAAGGTAACGCAATGTAGCCAGCTTGCGAATCTGTACCCAAAACTGGATTGTTGATGGTGATCATGACAATAAATAAAACCGGCCAAGTGTGAGTCGGACTCCCGCACGGTTCCGTACCATTGAATAAAAACGGAAAAAATTAATGTCTGTTTTATGGGAGCCCCAATTAAATATTTTTTTATTCTATAGTATTTGTTGTTATAGTGACAACAGAAATAAATCATTTGTGAAAATTACAACTGGCTGGCCCACCGATTACATGTCGCTCAGCGAGCTATGGAAAGATCTATGCTCGGTATTTGGCTAAGGGATAAAATCCGAAACGAAATTATCCGGCAGAGGACCAAAGTGGTCGATATAGTCCGGCAGTGGGCTGGCCACATCTGTCGCAGAACCGATGAGCGTTGGAGCAGGCGGGTTCTCGAATGGAGACCACGTCTCGGAAAACGTAGTGTCGGACGACCCCTGCCAGGTGTACCGATGACCTGAGAAACGTCGCTGGTAGTGGCTGGATGTGGAAAGCGGAAGATCGTGCTCTGTGGCATGCCCTTGGGGAGGCCAGCAGTGGACTGCAAAAGGCTGATTGGAATTGGAAAATTACAACTATCTAACTATCACGGTTCATGAGATACAGTCTGGTGGCAGACGTACGGACTGACGGACGTACGAAAAGACAGAACGACAGACAGCGGAGTCTTGATAATAGGATGCCGTTGCCTAAAAATATTAAAGATTAGTTAACATAAATGTGTTATATGATTCGGTCTTTTTGTGTGAATATTAATTTGTAATGTATAACGTGAACGGGTAGGAACACGAGTATGACGTAACAGATTCGACTCGAGCTCAACTTCGTTAAAGAATCATCATTGACATTTTACAATTTATAGGTAAAGGGTATGCGATAGGGACCTACTTACTGTGGTACTTGCCGCAAATGTTAAAACGCAGGCAAATTTATAATAACAGTACATAATGACGTCAAAAATGTATGATCAATATATGGATATAATTTATTATTATGGTCAATATTTTAATGATCTTACACTAATTTTCCTTAGAAATTAGCAAATATTTACACATACGGAATATTCATTAAATAAACTGAAGTGAAATGCGTTTAAGATTTAAATAACAATAACCTACATTAATATAATATCATGATTTCAATTTTAAAATAGGTGGGGTTGTAGATTTGAGATATTTATATGAAAAAGCAAATTAATTGGAAATAAGAGGACAATGTTGATATCATTACGTCCATTAAATACACGGTGGTTAAAAAGTGCGAATTCAAATTGTATGCATCTTCGATACTGCTTGTTAATAGAGTATGTAGTTAAAGCAAGCATTAAAACAAGGACGCCAACAGTCTATAACTTAAAGATAAGGGCATGAGATCGTATGCGTGATAATTCCTCTTGTGGCCACGTTCTTTTAGTTCGCATTCATCATGATCCGGAACCAGTAGCGGATTTGTAGGATTGTGCATTCGTTGATATTAAGTGAGGAATCTTTCGTAATTACTGAAGCAACATCTCATCGCTGTTATTAAATGGCAGGTAATACCTTTTATAGAACATCTACGCCAAGATCCGTATATTAAAAGGGGCCATTACGATTTATTCGCACTTAATGATCTACAATCAGAATAAATAAGAGAATATGCTAGCTACGTAAATTTGCAACGATAAAAGCAAAACTTACCTTCGATTTTCTTCGATATCAGATGTGGGGCGGCAGTTTGCGGCAGACCTAAATACTTCTTGGGGTCGCGTGCAGCTCGCACAAATAGAAATGTTGACCGCAACCACTGGACGCATTGAGCAACGTCGTTCACGGTACATAGAGCTGCTTCGCTGTTTAGATTCTCCGCTAAACGCTTGTGCAGGTAGCTTTGCAGCGGCTCGCAACCCCCGACAAGGGCTTGGTACCTTCCCTAAGCACCGAACATATTTTAGGGTAAATACAGCCGCGCTTAGAGACATTGATTTGATTTAAGCATCAATTACAATTGAAGTACTGTCGTAACGGTGGTACACTCGCTCAAAGACGTACCTATTTCACTACGTGTACAGCTAACTAATCGTTTGAATATCAAATACAATAAAATTACAACAAGTAATATCATAAAGCAGGTTACATAGAAACTTTGTGTCCGGTGACTTAAATTTTTCAAATAATTCAATTTGTGTCAAATTTCTATGTCATTGTCACAGTGTTTTCACGTTTAAACTATATAAAAATTAAACGATTTACAGCGATTTTTCTATAAAATTATTAAAAATGGCTTTAACTAAAGAAGAGAAGAGGGCGAAAAAGGAAGCGAAGAAACTAGAAAAATTACGCGCCCAAGCTGAAGCAAGGAAGCAGTTAAAAAAGGATGAACTCAAACGCGAAATGGTTGCTCAGGCTAGGAGACGCGGGGAACTCGATAAAAAATGGAGAGAATTGATGCTAAAGATTAAGGAACCGGTCTTTAGGCAAGACATCGAGGTCATGTGGCATGGATTTGACAGAACGTATGATAAAAAAAATCATCTCATTAATCATATAATGAAACTAATTAATGTGGCAGATGATCAGTTTCAACGTACAGTGTCAAGTTTTTGCGACACCATAGACACTATGATTGTTAACTTTATGTCAGGGATTGAGCAAATATCCATTGAGAACGACCGTAGGACCGCCGAACTGCTCAAGCTGGGTGAAAACGAAGCAGCTCAAATAAGAACGGATCACGATGCAGCCGAAACACATTTGCAGTTGCTTATTTACCACGGCCACACTACCGCCGACTCCTTAGCTTGGACAACGCGCGGTGAGAATTTAGTTAAGGAGGACGAGGACCGAAGCAGGTATGGGAACGAACGCGAGAATCTGCGCTCCCTCTTAGAAAACTCCTACAATTCCACCTGGGACGATTATAAGGCAGTACTGAAGAACTACGTCGTCAAAACTGCCGCCAACCAAAAGGCAGTGCGTAAGTTACGCCGCAAGGAGAATCTAATGTCGGACATTATTGCATCGCAAGCGAAGAAAATCGCCGATAGCGACGGGCTTCTTAAAAGACTTCGGTCCGAACTGACGGCGTATGAATCTGGAACGAAGCAGGCGGCTTTCCGGGATAGACGAGACAGACATCGGACAGCATGTTTTCGGTTAAAAAAGATTTTAAACGATGGATGTGCGGCAGATGCAAGACAAATGGCTGTATTAGTTAAAGCCGCAGACAGTACCATAGAATGGTTAGAGAGTGCTCATAAAAAAGCGGAAAAGATCCTACGTCTGGCTGCGCTTTGTCGCAAACATGAGACTCAACGTGAAAAAGTTTTACCCTTTGGATTGAAGTCACCCCATTTTCCCGTGCAATCTAAAACTAATCTTCGTAGACTTCAATCAGACGATTCGCTGGTTTTAAAGGCAATATCAACAACTTGTGGTTTAACAAGACTATGGCAACGTATAGCGAAAGCCGATTTGACGCGAAAAGCTCTGGTACGTGAAAAAGAACTCTTAGAAGAGGAAAATATGTTTCTTATTAGAAAGTTAGAAGAGCAAGAAGAAAATAGATTTCAGGTAAAAACTAATAGTTGTATTTGCGTCAAGCTGGACAGACAAGACGCCTCTTCGAAACCGGTCGCGATCGACGGTACATTAGAAATGTCTAAGTATGGGAAATATTAACAGTATATCACTCTGCATTTTTTTTTATTATTTCTTAACGTTAATAGATCATTACATATTGAAATATTTATATTATTTTTGCTTTTATATTTGCCTGATATCTTATAACGTAAAGTATATAGCGTATCTCAGGGGACATTCGTATTTATTCCGTTGCATGACAGCAGCCCGCGCGAGCGTTGCATGTCGCAATGACACGAGACCTACACGAGGCGCAAACGATGCCACTATGACCTTACCCACTTCTAAAACCGTGGGACAGGCAACGATCGATAAGCGTTTTGGAATGTGCTTTAAATATTTTTGTTGTTTTAAAGGTGTTACGGTCCTATTTTCTGTTTCAATTAGGAATACAATGACTGCGAAAGTATTGCGAAACATAGTACATCTTTAATTTAAACAATGTTTGTATACTTAAATAAATTGCCACGAATGTTGGTAAAAAAGAATGACGAACATACATAGTCGTACTGTATATATTTGTCCACATAAAACAATGCCAGTAACACAATTCAAATATGGCTTACTTAGGTTCGTAAATTTAAAAAAATCATCAATGAATTTATTAATAATATTTTTTTCTTTGGTCAGTAAAACAAATTTAGGCTTTAAATGATGTTTGATGTAGGTATTTGTAATAGATCGTTAATAATCGCGGAAATGGTATAAAATAACGATCGTTGAAAATCTCTTATATTTTAGACCGTTATTTCGTGCAACGTATTGGTAAACGCAAGTTCATGTGGTATTAAGTTTTACATAGAATATGCACCACACAAAAAAAGATTATTATTATTGCCACATTAACCTTGCCCTTTCGAATAAAACGAAATAATTGTACAAGAAAACAGTAATTAAAAAGCATCCGATATCGTTTTTATGAACATAATACTTAATTATTAGCCTACTATATCTCATGTACCATAAATGATTTATAGCATGTACACAAATACGTTACTAAAATGACATGTAATAAAACATTCTGAAGTTTAAATATTACGAAACGGATACTATCGATAAAAACAAAACAATAAGAAGACATGTATATATTATATATACACGTCGTGAAATTTACAAATCATCAGGTGATTACGAACAGATTTTGATTTATATTAATCTTATGTTTAAGTAAAAGGCTATATATATGTCCCACTGCTGGGCAAAATCCTCTGTACAGAGAGTATCAGGCATAGTCCACCACGCGACCTTCACACTGCACACATCTTCGAAATATGTTTTTTCCTTCACCCCCGAGCATGTAATAAGGCAGCACTTAAAATTACAACAATTAAAATAAAATTGGTGCCGGTACCGGGATTTGAACTCTGGTTGCTAAAGTACATTGAATTAAAAGCGAGCCCCCGCCCGAACACTGATTGTGAGAGCTATGACGAGTTTTTATATTATTCATTTTATAGAAATCATAATTGGCATTACAAAAAGACATCCTCGCCAATTTATTCATTCCAATTCCAGTAAATAAAAAAACCACAAATTTTGAAAAAAACTTGAGAAATTTTATAACAAAAAACTGGTAGCTACTTCTTTATTATATCTGAAACTTGCTACAAATCACCTTCCACAGAAAACCACCTAAAGGGCCGTACCTTGGCGTTATACAGTTTTGATTATAAAAGTAACCGCGCCTCGCGAGGTTTGTGCGATTATTATGCCTTTGCGTACCCATTGTAACGTACATGTTTATTAAATACGACTAATTTAGATGCATCGAACTGGAAAAATGATAATTATGTCTGCAACAGAAATGTAATTTAGAAATTCTTAGATTGGTTGATTTTGTCTAGCCTCGCTTTCATCCGAGAAGAAATTTTTTCATTTAATAAAATAACTACAAATACATGAATTTAAACCACTTAAGTTTAAGTGAACTTTGAAATCTAATCGAAATGGAAATTTGGGATGCAGGTAATGTTATAAATACAGACCCAAATCTCTAAACGGGCACATTTATTTTTAAAAAGCAAAAGATTTATTGAGTGTTCTTTTTCCTTCAAAAAATAGAACTGTGGGCCTTCGGGCACTATAATATAGCTTGATATGGGATTAAACTTTGAAGCTTGATATGGGATTAAAACGATATCGGTTTCTTATGTAAAAGTTTTTTCTCACGTTTTTGGCACTTGTCATGTTTGCCACAAAATGAACTCTAAAAGATTCTTGGATATTAGCTACATATCTGTTCTTATCCTTTTAAAAGAGCGTTTAATAAAATTTGATCACAAATTACAAAATAAAATTGTTAATAAAAACAATTATCACTTAATAACATCATAGAACCTACAACGAAATTATATCAAAAGCTTTTAAAGTGTTGATAAAATAATAGTAAATCACGTTTTAGGAATGTTTGATTATTTTAAATGCTACGACTTAAAATTTCTTTTATGAGGCGGAAGTAAACAACACACAGATAATTTAAACATGTATCACACTTAAGTTGAAGAAAAAGTAAACATTAAAAATGTTTGGCTGAACTACATGTAAAAATGTCCTATCAATAATGTTGTATTGTTAATTCATTAATTGTTTATACAAAGTTTACAACAATTTATTTTCAGAGATAGATGTAAACTGTCGGTTGACATCAAAGATCATAAAGAGACCGAAATGTAAGCCACTTCCTTATCATGAACTGAAGATGACAGTGCGTGTCGCTTTCACCCGTTTATGGATCAAAGGATAACCTACAAGTTCTTCCTTGTGTCCCACTTAGTACAATGAGCAATGTGTTACAACAAAGCTCATGGTTACATAGATCATGTACGGATAACATATTTATTTACAATTTTAACTCGAATTGTGGTCTATTTGGTTTGTTTTTGATAACGGTGCCATGGTTAGTAATAATGGAAATAATGCTGAACATATCTTTTCTACTCACATTAAAATAATGGATACAACCGCGACAGTTTCAGCTTGGTCGATTATATTATAGGCTTTAATTTGTAGGTTATTAAATGTAAAAAGTACATACAGCCACGATTTCCTTAGTATTTTACAATTGAATACTTTTTGGTGAAGCTGTGATAGGCTCAGTGAGCCGTGATAGCTGTGTCCGGGCGCTCGCCTTTAATATACTCGAGCAACCTGAGTTCGATCCCCGGTGCCAGCACAAATGAAATTGTCAATTTTAAGCGCTGAATTATCACGTGCTGAGCGATGAAGGAAAACATCGTGAGGAAACTGCATATTTTCGAAATAATAATAAAAAAATATTTCGAAGATATGTGAAGTCCGCCAATACCCTGATGGTCTGTACAGAGGATGCCTTTGCCCAGCATTGGGACATCTATAGGCTGATACTTTACTTTACTTTACTGTTTGGTTCCTCAAAGTTGGTCTCCACTGACAGTCTTGCTCAGGGTATAATTTAATATCTAGATGCTCTAGCAAATGGCACGGATCGGCATTAGACTACTGGCGCATCTGACTTTAAGCAGAGTCAAATTATGCCACGAATTGATAATGTTGTTTATAATTAAACGTGCATATTAGATCTTAGAACATGATGATATCAAGGTAAATATGCGAGGGTGCAAATAGCACATAGGTCATTACGAAAATTTGCTTTTTAATAGATTCCTAGCGAGGCTTTTCCGACCACGCACAAAGCATTTAGCGTATAATTGAAGATTCACGGTCGCCACTCACTACGCTTTAATTGTTTTATAACCGAGAAGCTTCACGTAAAAGACATTACAAAATAATTACCAACGAAATGATTTTACAAAAAAAATATACAACGTTACCACCAGTTACGAAAACGTGCGCCACGCGAAGTTATTCAGCTGATTGGCGCTTCACAGTACTAGCGGTGCTAAAACTTCTGTTGTTACGGAGCAATGGATGGCCGGGCTTTGTTTACGCGAACATAATGTATGCATTGAAACGAGTTGATATTTAGACACGGTTATTGGTGTGCAGCCATCAGCTTCGATCTGCGTGTGTGGTGGGACATCCATCACGAGAGGGCGACATTGCGGCATCCTCGCAGCGCAAGGGGAGTCGTGGGGTGCGTATATAAGTGGCAGACGATAACGGGGCGCGACACCAGTCGCTTCCAAGCTCTCTCATAGCCACCACTGTCAGCTTCACCAAGTTGCAACCGTGCTCTGTGTCGTATCGTTAGTGATCGTACGTTGGAACGGTGAGTTTTTACGTTTGATTTACAAAGGTCTAAGCAGAAAAGTATTAATTAATTATCACACGTTCGCAAACCTAAAAATGGTTTGGTCTAAAATAGTTCTTCTTGAGTTTTTAATATTTAGTTTATGTATGATATTTAAGTCTTATTTAATTTCTTTAAATTTATTTTAAAGTGTTTATAAATTACATAGTTGAGCCTAAGCCACAGAAGAAACAAGACGAAAGCCTTCAGACATTAAAAGCGAATTTAAACTTTAAAACACAAGGGTAACTCTTATTATTATTGTCTTTTAAGATAATTCATTATATTATTCAATAAACGATACACCACGTTTTGAAATGTGAATAGAATAAGTAGTCTTTTCGTCAAATATGACTTATTGAAAGCTATATCAAGCTTTTCTTAATACGTCTTTGTTATCAACCGAAAATGATATTTGGATACAATAAATATGATGACGGGAAATTTAATTAATGCACCGTTGATACCTGGTATTCATATTTTTCCCCGTAAGTATAAGAAAGTATCACTTTACATTGCGTGCAGTGAAAAAAATATAAATATAAAATTAAAATTTTGAAGACCATCCAAGGTTACGGTAATAATTGACAATGATATTATTTTTTAATTTGTTAATTTTATTTGAAATTGAATTCTATTGTTAAAATATTGATGTTGACTTATTGTACTTTACACCTAAATTACGGTGGTCAATTGATAAGCATAATTGCTACCGCTACTTAATCGTAATTATATATGTATTTTGTATTTTTTCATTAAAAAGCAAAGATTCTTAATATATTTCGTTAAATCTTAAACTTGTCTATCGTTAAAATATTAATCATCGTCAACTTGCCGACTAACAACAATCAAAAAAGTTAATGTTCCAAAAATAAGTTATTTTTCTTGCCTTATTACTTTAATAAATAAGAAATATTGGACAAATTAATATTAAAGTATTACCTAACCACAATGCTTGAGTACATCCATATAATAACGTTAACAATTTCCTAACACTACGCAACATCGTTCTGCGGTTATAAGGATCACTTTACACATCTGGTCTATCTTAGTCTATCGGTCTTAAAATGATATGCGTTAAACTGAATTTCTGATCTATTTAATCATATGAGTGGTGAGCGATGTATGACGGTCCAAGTAATTTTAATAATTCATATTGTGTGTGTTTCAAAAAGGTCTCCAGATTTTTTTAGAAAATAGGAATATTTTGTTTACAGTAATTGGCTATTTCAAATTATTGCTTGTTCAGTTGAATTTATCTAATAAGAATTTAACAATAAATACCGAAACAATAGAGAAAACAAGACGAATAGATATTCGTATTTTATCCTACGAAATGTAAATTTTATCAAGTAATCAAAACTGTGATTTGGCTTCAGAAATCGCTGGGAAACAACTGCTTTTCCCCTGAATTTGAGTCTTAACAAGCGTTATACACATAGTCCTTAAGAATCATTGCGCAATCATCATCCAAAAAGCCAAACAGGCCACCAAGAAGTGCATTATTGTGAGGTCACAGATAAGTGAACTTTAACCATTATCCAAAATTAATTGACAGGATTTATCAAATACTATAAAGCATATGGATCTTCGAGATTTAATAAATCTCAGTATTATAACGGGCTCATTTAGGGAATTAATGCTCGCAATTCGCTTATTGTTAGTTTTTTGTAATCTTTTCCGAGACATTGAGTTGTACGCATTTTAAGCGCGATTTTCATCACGTCATGTAACAATTTCTTACTATAATTTAATTACTCGTCGAAAAACTGTCGAAGCGATACGCAATCTTACGTTTGGCAAGAGCGTGTTGAGACAAAGCAACTCCTCGTAAGAATCGATCACGCGAGGCCGGGCCTATCTGAGTTATTGCCATACTTGTCGTATTTACAAAAGTAAATTCTGCGTTAATTTCTACAACTGCATCAACCATCTCTTGTTACTTTATTTCCGTGGTAAGTTCACGAAACAGCTTAAGCTGTTGCACGAATGGGCAGGCTCGTCCGGGGAAGTACCTATCACGGCCTCACAGAAGACCGGCGTGAAGTGGAAGTATTGAACTTTCGCGTATCGTCCGATGAGTAAGGTAATCGGGGCCCACTTTTTTAAAGGTTGTCAACGCATCACCAAGCCATTAGCTAACTTGAAAACCGCTTGCTAGCTTGAAAACTATTCACGTAAAAAAGAGGTGGTAAACCTTGTTGGGATGTGCAGTGATTTAATTTATGGCGAATTTTAATACAGTCATTTATAGGTGCTGTTACGTTTTGGCTTAAATAAACAAAAGGTGCTGTCGTGTTTAGATTGGAATCTAAATTCCAAGTAGCGATAATATCTATATTTTTCTTTTTTATAAGTAATAATATTTAAGTCCCGGCAGTTCAAAGGTGCCTTTGAATCTTCTTTCTATCTTTTTGCAAAATATTGTCATTGACATCTTTTGGAATCTTGACAATGAATTAATATTCATGACACTATGACATAATGTATTAGAAGACAAGGAAAATTTAATTGATCATTATAAGAAAATTACTATATGACCATAATTAAAATAATTAAAAGCAATAATTGCCTGTGATAAAAATTTTATGGTTATAAACGCAACATCACATAACACAGCCAGCATACCTGGACTGTTATAGAAAAAATATATTATCATTGCTTGGTATTATCGGTGGTAAAAACAATTAACAATCTAATTAAGCATCGAAGCATTTTGTTTGGAAATAAAAATAAATAAGTAATAATCATGCACGATACACATATTATTCTTAGAATTTTACTTGTAGCAAAAACGTAAAAATAATATAATGTGTCCCATAATCGGTATGAATTACCTACTTGCTATATTTATATTATAGTATTATGTATATTATAGTATTATAATAAAAAGAGTTTCAAAGTAGTCGGTAAGCGCGATATAAAACTCATTATTTTTGGATTATATGTCTACTTATGCGTAATGTCCCTTACATTACGCTACATACTAAGTTATGACTTAATTTTTCTTTTTTCATTTTTATTTTTAAATGCTCAGTGCACACTTTTTACGCATTAAAATGTTTTCCGATTCGATGACACAGATGTTAGTTTGCGCGTGAAAAGGTGTTGGCTTCAAATTCCATCAAGTAAAGTCTAATAGGTAAAAACGGTTACAGTGGTTATTATAGCAGCTGTTTTTATCCAAACCAAGTAGTGGTATTAATAGGTCCTCGTTAATTTTTCAATGCATTTATGTATTTGTAAAACGCGGGAAATTGTCATAATTATGTTTCTAGTAAAAGAATAAAAATAATTCGTTATCTGTTTTGATAATGTTTAAAAAAATTAATTCAAAGCATTATCGTTTATCTTAAAATATGACTGATGTAAATATTAAGTTCTTCCTAATAAACAAGGCGACCTGTTAATATGATAATAAAAATAAAAGTTCATTACTTGTAACGTAAAATATGCCAAACATGTAAATGGGAAACTCTACAGTTTAAGTTCATGATCGCAATTGTTTGATAATTTCACATTTACAAAGGATAGTTTGATTGAATTATTTTCATAATCACAACAGATGTCGTCGACAAAATGGTTGGTGTGTGCCCTCGCTGTGGTCTGTGTGAGTGTCAGGCAAGGGGCGGCGGCGCCAGCTCCCCAAGAAGATGCCGGTCCCCCAACACCAGTAAGTACACTTTTAATTTACTATTACTGGGAAGCCTTAAAACGATAATCTTTGACCTGTCTCTTTTGCTTGACCTACGCTGCGAAGACTACAAACTGTCCGCTGGCCTGGTTTAAGAGCTAAAAGTCGTACCGCGAGCGAATTGAACAAATTCGACGAAGAACAAAGATAGTCGATATTGCTCTCAAATTTAGCGAGCTTAACTGTGGTAAGTTCACGTAGCAGCTTTGCCTGTTTGCAAGAATAGGCAGGTCCATCCGAATAGTACTACGGTCTCACAGAAGCCTGGCGTGAAGTGGAAGTATTATACTTTTGTGTATCGTCTGGGAAATGGGGTAACCGGGCGCACTTTTTTTAATTTTGGCAACGCATCTGCAACCCATTGGGTGTTTTAAATGTTCATAGGCGGCGGCTATCACTTAGTATCAGGTGTAATGTCCGATTTGAACTTTTAATAAGTAGCAGTACGCCGACTGCAACCTTCGAATGCGCGATGGCGGGTGCGGAATAAAGGCCGCGACTGAGATGGGGAGTAGGTCACCCGCCCTAGAATTAATTGACAAACTAATGTACGTGGCAGCCAGATACGTCATGTTCTATGTGAGGAAGTAAGTGTAAAAGTATCAAGTCAGTGTAAAGTAGGTTTGCTGTATCTTTAAATAGATTTCCTCAAATAACAAAAAAGATTTTACTCAAAAACAGCATAGAAACATGCTGCTGTATTTTTTCACCGGTAAATACTTTTTAAAATAGCAGATAATGTAATGCAATGAATTATTAATAGTTATACAAAGCCATGGCTAGGTCCTAAATATTAAAAGGAAATAATATAAAGATAACAATTTTTGTCACAAAGTTTTGATTATTAGACGGCGAGACGCCAAGCTTTAATCTTTTAAGTCCCGAGTGGTTCTTCAAAAAACCTTACATTACTTGGTTAATAGGCTTTGGTTATACTGTTTATATGTAATGATGCAATTCAGTAAATCCATATCAAGACAAGACAAGTAGTATTATTTTGAAGCATGTCTGCAATCTTGTTTCATTTGATTCATTCCTATCAAAGTATGACAGGAATTGTGATCATATATCTGTGTTGTCATTATTTTCGTGTAAAATACGAATAGCTATTAAAAGATTTCATTGTCTACCATAATTTTCTTTAGTTACGCTAAGGTACCTAATGTCTCCTCTACGCCATTATAAATAAAATGCTGTAAGTGTAAATGGTTAATGTGGTGGCAAACATTTGAGCACGTAATAAACTTAGTTGAATAAATTAATGCAAGAATTCACAGGCCGCACTCTTAATAGGTTCTAGCACGAAGATGAGGAAGGTCGACGGCATTCATTTACTTAGCGTGTTCATCATCGACATCTTTGGATAATTGGTCTAGCGAATGTGGATGGGAAGGTAAACATATGTAAACGCAATGAATGATAATTAAACTTATGTTAAATCAGATTTAAGTTGTGAAGACACAATGACTAAGATTTCGACTGAGGCCCTGGTTAAAGTATTAGCGAAAGAATAAGATTAGAACCTAAAGAACTATTATTATAGAAACTATTTATTGTTGTATGACATTACTTTTGGGTAGTTTTAATTTACTGTAATCCCTACAAATAAGATTAGTTTAATTATCTCTTTGCCTTATCAATTACTGGACAACTCTGAACAACTCGATATGTTGAACGTTAAATATAACTCGAAATATACGCCACATTATCAGAACGTGTTTTTAAACTTAAATGCAACGGCATACGAACTTCGGCTGAATTAAATCTTGTTACTACGAGTTACATTGTAAGGTCAATAAGGAGATAATTGCTGAAGTTTTTCATAGTTCTTAGGCGTTAAGTTAACACGTCTCCAATCCGCTATCGGTGGCATCTCGTTAACTGAGCATTATGTTTGCCATGTGAACGTTCGCGAACTGGCTAATTGGACGCAATTGCGTTCAGCGGTCTTTGTGAGCAAACCGTCCTTATCTCGGCTCTATCGCGATTACATTGGTAATACAGCACAATAACCGACGGATAATTGTGCACGAGGCACCAGCACAATCCAGCGGTATATTTGTTCAAGTCCGTTTAGGAATGCATATTGTGCCGAATTTAATTAGCCGCGGCCGCAATTCTGCGATCAGATACGAAAGCTCCTTTGTCACACGTACGGTGACGCTTGAGTGTATTACGAAACGCCGTTTACCTGCACGTCCTTAAAGTATTTCGTAAAGACTTTTCTATACGTATAAAAATTTATGTTTCTTTGTTTGTCTCGTATGAGCTCCTCTACCATTCATAAGGTTTATAACGCAACTTTAGTCAGTTGATTTATGCAGGCCCGTCAAGGTTTCCGATTTGAAAAAAAAATAATAGAAAAATGTTTTATATTTCTGCAATGTTTTTTATGCATCTTAAACTTTGTAAGCAACTAGTTGATAAGCTCAACTTCTTTTGAGTTGCTTATTTCATTAACAGTATTATTTATGTGTTGAATAATAAAAAGCATTTATATCGGAACCAGAAAAACATAAAATTATGGATAGAATTACCGGTAAGAAGTGCACGGAATGAAAATACGTACACTAAACACGTAGTGCTTATAAAAATAGTTGTTTCTTAAATCTTGAATGAAATAAAGAAATATATCACAATATTTTAGGTGAGGCCAAGTGTCTCAGAAATAAAAATATTAATAAAGAACTTAAATCTATCCAGTACTTTTCGGCGACGGATTTTATTTATACAGATACCATAATACGGGCATGGTACGGGGATTTATTCATGAAATATATTCGGTATATCTGTCATCAATTTTACTAACACCTCAAAAATACGCAAATTCAAAAACATAAGTAACAATTGCATTGCTTTTAATTTATTTCCTGTGTCATAAATCGTTATAATGGATTGCTATTTATAAAAATTCCTAATTTCGTGTAACTATGTTGATTAAATTGGCCAAGACAACAATAATGGTCGTTTGTAAATTATGAGCAACTTATTGTTCCCACGAATCTTCTTCAAAAACTTTGAAGAATGACTTTTTTCGACTCTCAAGGTTCTCAACATGTAATGTAATCCATTAATTCCTGTATTTATCACTATACATACTTTTCATTATATGTTAACGATAAGTATGCAGATAAGAATATTTGAAATAACTTTTATGACTATAAGATATTTCAAATGGCAAAATGAATGAGTTTAATAATCATAATCATGGTAACACGTTATATGCGTTAATATATTTTTATGTTTTTCCTTCGTTCATCGGGAATGAATCATGAAGAAGTATCTGTTTCTTCAAGAGAACCATCAATTATTATTATACAAATGTTTTCTAAAAGATTAATCAAAATTAAAAAACAATTTATACTTTAAGATTATTGCCATTATAAAAACAATTGATTTAAAATATTTTTTAGTTCTTAGTCGAACTATTGAAAGATAATTAAATTTATTTATAACAAAAAACAAAACAAACTTCAAATATCTAATCTCGTAGTCTACGGTTTAATGTCAATGAAATTGATATGGGACCGGTACGAGAGCTAAACCAAATCCAATGCAAAAGTTTTTATAATCAGATCACAAATATCGGACTTGCGACGAAAAAAAAAACAAAAAGGTACAATCGAATTGAAAACGTCCTCCTTTTTTAAAATCGACTTTTTTGTGTTGAATAAATTTAAAATAACACCTGACTTTATGTCGCGGTCCTGACTTTGTTTGTCTGTGCTTGACTGCCATTGCACCTATAGGAAGTGGTGATGGTGTAAGCGGTGACGCACTAATTAGAAGCCTATTTACTCTTCCCTTCACGTCTCCCACATTGTAGCCGTAAAGGCGAACCTGGCAAATTGGTCCCTTCCCTTCCACTATCTGGCCAAATGCGGGGATAGTCAACAACTACAAGAGAAAAGCTGGGGCTCTAATCTAAGAAGGGTGGGGATGGCAAAAAAATACAAATCCTGCAATCTTAAGTGGTGAGTTTGGCACTACAAAAATTTAAACTTCCTTAACCGATTCAATATTCGTTACAGTATGAATACAAATACGACGTAGAGGACCCCGAGAAGACCCTGTACTTTGGAGCGAACGAATCAGGGGACGCGCAGGGGAAGGTGGTCGGAGGGTACCGAGTTCTTCTCCCGGACGGGAGGCTCATGAACGTAGAGTACACTGTGGAGGGCGAGAGCGGCTTCGTGCCGAAGATCAGCTTCGAGAACAACGCCAATCCCTTCGGCCAGGGGAAATAAACCAAGACTGCTCCGACACAGTGTATATAAGCGATGCATTTTAGACAATTGAAGCGATAGTTCATTCGTGAGCGAATTTTAGAACTTAGTCTGGACGTAACAATTCAAATTACTAAAACCACTTTCAATTATTTATTGTTCTTTTTTAATTTTGAGCTTGGGGTATTGGTGTAGTTTATTCGAATAAGGAACATGCCCTTGACAAACAAAACAAGCTAATTGTGTTAATGTAAAATTTCGATTAATTATAGTTACCGTCTCTGTGATTCAAGTGTAAGACACTTAATTTGCCATTAACTCTGAGATGTGTCTCAGCTAAGTCGATTGAAGATTAAATCTCGGATTGTGATTTTGTACACAATAATAGCGTAATTTCTGTACATGTAAATTTATAAAAATCAATAAATACATTTATAATAAATTTTTGCTCATGGTTTCATTTTACCCAGCAGATAGTTTTATCTGTTTAATGTACAAAATTATAATATATCTATTAAGCTAAGCCAACTATGAGAAAGTTATACCTTAATTTTATGCCTTCAAAAATTAATGTACAAAAAGCTACACTATTAGTGTTACCGGTTGTTTTTTAACCTAATTCAAACCTTTAAAAGTACGACCAGGGATAATAAAACTTGTTATCATGTAAATCTCGCGAGATTGTAAATAAAGTTACATTCCGTCTAAGTCACGTCGAAATGCATTACCAATTAGAGAAAGTGTTGTGGTATCTTAGAACGAAGATGTGCTCACCTTATCGGCGAGGCGGGTCATGATGACGGCGGTCGCTTCGGTGTCGAACTGGGGACGCCCTGCTCTACCCACCATTTGCAGCACTGTGCTTATACTGTACTCCTTCATCAGAACACACAAATGACGAATAAATCACTAGGAGCCGGTTTTTTTTTAATGTGAGGAGACGGCAAACTAGCTGGCGGTTCACCTGATGTTAAGCGATAACCCTTAACCCTTAACCTTTTAATAAAGTGCGCCCCGGCCACCTCACTCACCAGATGAAACGCAGGACTATAACACTTCCACTACACGCCGGTCTTCTGTGAGGTCGTGGTACTTAACCAGACGGACCTGCCCTTTTATGCGACAGCGAACTGTTGCGTGACCCTACCACAGTTGAAAATTCCGATAAGAACTCTCTTATACTATCGTTTTTGACTTGTATTTTGTAGCGTTTCTTCGGTTTTATTTAGTTCCTGAGTACTACAACTATAAGATTATCGCGTTTAAGATTAATTACATAGTTCAAGAACACACATCGGATACCGGGATAATTTTGGACCTATACGGATATTTTTCAAAACTGGAACCTAAGACCCGCGGCGCCAAAGGTTGCCTTATTAATTATGCCAACCGTGTCCTCACAAGACCATTGCCACCATCATCATCATCAACAGCCGGAAGACGTCCACCATTGAACAAAGATTGCCTTAACGACACCACTGTAATAACAAACAATGTTACATCTTCATGGACATTTATCAATATGTGTGTTTTTTTAGTTTGTTCCGTATACATTCCATACATATACAGTATGATTAATTGTAGAACTCTTCTGTTAATTAAATCTAGGAATTTTTAATTAACATAAAAATGCAAAGTTCAATACCACATTATCGTTTACCAATCAGCTACGGCCGGATATTCTATCTATTTGTAGATTTGGTTACTGGGGATAGAACTTTGATGTAAGTATAATAGAACTAATATCAAATACCCATCTACAAACTAGTAACCAAATCTATAGATAGATAGAGTATTGAAATTGACCGTTAGTCGCAAAGTAAGTCAGATGGTTCATTAACTAACCTGATATGCCCCGTTCACGTATTGCTGAGTATTCTTAATTATAACAAGATGGGCCGGCAAATTGACGCCCATTGCTGGAAACAAATGACGCGCGATGATCTTTAAAATTGATATTTTAAAGAATTTGCCCTTAATGTAGTGTAAGATTATCCTGTGTTGTAAAGACGTCTTACATACATAAAATTCACATGGAAAATCTCCCGGATCCGAAACAAATACTGTTGGTCACACAAATAATTGTCACGTGCGAGAATCACACATAGACTATAATATCTGAAGATATTGAATCACACCTCAAATTAAGACATTTAGTTTTACTAGTATATTATATTATTGGTACTTCAACTCGAATCATTTCCTGTACTGTTTAATAGAGTATATGAAATTATATTAATCTAAATCGTTTTATCGATAGTATTACATCTACAGTATCATAGTAATTCATATTACGATTTTTTTCTGACATTCTAACACCTATGTTAACTCCTACACATGTAAGAATTCATCGCCAATGTAATAGATTATGTTCAGATAAAAATTCGTCACAACGATTGTATATAATTATGTTGCTATAAACCTTAAAAAGCATTGCCAATTAAAACAACGACGCTATGCTTATAAAAGGACAACGAATGAATGTCCTTTTATAAGCAAACAAACTAGCAGATATCATAGTTTGTAGATTTATATCTGAAAGTTGAAGCTGTCGCCAACTTTATTTGAAATCGTTACTAAATATGTATTTTCGTTTGAGAAACAATATATCACTACAAATGTCCGAGCAGTTCGTACCACTATTTAGATTTATAATTAAAACTAGCTGTTATCCGCGGCTTCACCCGCGCGGCCAAAGGGAATGAGCAATGGGGTTTTTCTTATACACTACTTAGTTGATACTTCTCCATTACCTATATTTTGTACAATTCACACAATATCTTTAGATATTATAGTCTATTTGTTATTCTGATGTATAAGCTATATTACTGTAAAGTTTCATTAAAATCTATTCAGTAGTTTTTGTGTGAAAGAGTAACAAACATCCATCCATACATACAAATTTTCGCCTTCATAATATTAGTAAGGAAGGATCTAGTAAGCTTTGCTAGTTAAGGATACTCATTATCAGGAGAATGTATTCCTTTAATGCGCAGTTTTCATTTATAAAAGCTGTCCTATTTCTACATATTTTCAGTTAACGACGATATAATTAACGCCTGTCATAATTGAGATAATAAATGCAATGAACGAAAGGTAGCGTTATTCCTGTCTACCACATATGTGTGAAATTAGACATATCTGTTAAATTCATGCAGACATAAATTTTTCGGACAAAAAGCTTCGATACAGATTTAGCACGATGCGAGATAAAGGAATATTGTATGAGTCAACATCTCGTTTGCAAGATTTATTGTTAACACGACTCTACACAAACTAATAACGACTTAAATTAAGCATACAATATCCCCAATTATATACCGGTTTGCTTTGCTGGGATTCACACAAGGTAGATTACATTTAGTTTTTCGTATAGCAATTTCGAGAATATTAAATAAAATATTTATAACTCCCATTCAGCAAAAATAATACTTTATTACTATAATACTCTGACATAGTCAATGGATGCATAGTTAATGGTCTCATTACATCCACTTTTAATTTTTCTAGAGACAGAGTATTTAGGAACTTTATTAAATTATAGCTTGTCTATAATTTTATGTAGGCATGATGTAGTTTTATATAAGTGCACATTTTTCAAATCCGTTCAGTAGTTTTAAAAGAGAGGTAATGACTCAAAATGCAACAAAATGCAAAATGAATAAAGTAAGTATTCTGGACTCTTCTTCCGATCGTATATGATATGTAAAGTTAATCTGACGACAAATTCGAAGATTGTAGAGCACTATCTTACATATAGTTCTTGCAACTCAGCAGAACTTCAATAGCAGGGAGTAGCTTTATTGTTTAAGGTAAATTCAGATAGCGCCGCGATATAGGGATGCATCACCATAGTCTACATTTTCTTAAATCCTACATTATATAATGTACTACATATTGGTTTTGTTCATATTTTCGGAGAAAAATGTTATTTGTGAATTTTTAATAATTAACGTGGATTAAAATGCGTCTATTGACATTTTTGTTTTATCGAAGCTAAATTGTCAGCTTTGTGCGTGTAGCCCACGTCGAAACACAACAAGACCTGTATATAAGACCGTTGTTCAGGGAATTAAAGAAAAAACATTCTGACAATACGTATAGCGGTTACTTTTTAAGTTTGACACAGTACTTACCTAGAGTGGTCGTAGTTATTAGTATCGGAAGATCGCCTTTCCGGAAAGCCTGCTCTATATTGGTTCTCTCCTCGAAAAGCAAACCGGCGTGATGGCAACCAACCCCACATGTCACGAGGGACTAAGGGGCGAGACAATCCACTTCAAATGCAGTATCTCCAAAAAGATAATTCATTCCCCATCCCGAAATATCATATAAAAGAAGCGCATAGTACAATTGCAACTGACACCGTGAAAAACAAATTTTATTTCTCATTATCGGCAAAGGCGTCACCTGTAAGGGTCGCTAACTACCCAATATTTTTTACTAAAATTTTGATTTTGATTCTGATAATTTAAATTACTGTACTGTGTCTTTCTTATCCTTTAAACGAGCAATTCTTGTATATATATATATATATATATATATATATATATATATATATATATATATATATATATATATATAATCGGAATCTCGGAAACGGCTGCAGCGATTTTCATGAAATTTTGTATGTGCGTAGATTCGGGGGCGAAAAATCGATCTAGCTTCATTTTTAGAAAATGTCCTTTTATCCCTGTTTTCAGGGAATGAAAAGCTAGCTCGGTCGGTAATTGGGCGACCCAAAACAGACGCCCGCGGTTCGTATCACGATCATTAACATACTTATTTCTTTACTTTTTTTTCGATTCCAGATCATTGCTTTTTTTATTTTTTATTTTTAGTTGATTTGTTATTTTTTCCCTTTTTTTTAAGTTCTTTCTTTTGTTAAAAACACCAGTTCATATTTTTTTATTATTACGTCGGTAGGGTCGAAAAATATTATGAATATTTTATTACTCAGTAATTTGTATCTAAATGTAATTTCCAAAATACACGATTTACAAAGCTCTGTCCTCCAGGTACTATATTATATATATACAGTATAGTACTGATATCCGCACTTGAGATGAAGCATTAAAGCTTACAGAATAAATGGACGAAAAGCTTTAAAAAATTAAGTATCAAATAGCAACGGCGAAATCTCTATGTCACATTGTTATTGTAAAACGAAATTTAAAATTGTTTGTGTACTGTAAAGGACATAACAATAGGTACGCAAAGTATTGCGTAAAATGCGAAAAAACAGTGTAGATAAAATACGTTCTGATTTTCGTCGGTGTGGCAATCAGCCTCAGTTTAGCTTAGGGGTTAAGGCGACGGGGGTTCGATTCCCGCAGCGGCAACATATTTGTAGCCCTATATCTTTTGTTTAGTCTATATCATACAATTTATTTACAATATTTTCAAAGTCACATTTAAAATTCCTTTTACGTCTATACTGGCAGTAAAAGTTAAAAATGATTATAAATTTCAATAACTAATTAGTTAAATACATACTAGGTTCAGTATCAATTCTTCACCTACGGCCATGAATACGCACATGTATGGTTGCATGCGTCTCCAACCTTTAAGGTTAAGCTCCGGTATTACAACCACCAGACCTAAATGTCTTTATAATTAATTAATGTTTGCTTGTTTGTCCATCTCGAGTTTATTCTTCTGATTGTGACAAAACATTTGTGAGGTTTACTGCTCACGATCACAGAGTCACTGAGTTGGCAAACAATACATAGTATAAAACAAAGCCGTCCCGCTGTCTGTCCCTATGTATGCTTAGATTTTTAAAACTACACAACGGATCTTGATGCTTATTTTTTACTAGATAGAGAGATTCAAGAGGAAGTATGTATAATACATTGCACTCGTGTTAAGCCGGGGCGGGTCACTAGTATAGTATAACGCTAGCCTGGCTTTTGGTTAACAAGTAACAAGTACAAGTACTTCTGTTTACGTCGGTCCGCTGGGGCGGTTATGTTTATCCCTGATGAGCCGGTCTAACCACAGCAAAGTAGCATCGTTTAACGATAAAATTGTAATATATCCGCACAGCGATTACTTACCTGGACTTTTTTGTTCTTGATAACCGAAGCCACAGCCACGAGCTTCGCCCTCTGTTCTGGGCTAAAGTTGATTGTGATCTCACGGGACAAAGTCTCCGCTGTTAGCAGTACGCTCTTACGTGTATTGCAGAATATCTTAAGGTATGATTTGTTCATGGTATGATTTCGTATAGTTAGAATAAATTAAAAAATAAAAATAAAGTTAAGCTACAAGTAAGTGCAATTAATCTAGTAAAAAAAAAAGAAAATCGAAGAATATAGACTAAAGAGATAAAACTTATGAGTAAAATTGAGGCAAGTACGTGCAGTAACTTGCGACTCAATTTTGTACAATTTGTAAAATCAGAAAGTTTAAAAGTAAATAACAATAAATCTAATCATGATGTTTTTTTAACGCATAGACTTTTCAAATGAAGCAGAATCATGTTTAAATACGAATAAAGTTACCAGTGTGGGCTTCCCGCTGTGGTACTTCTGAATTATGGGCCAGAGTTTGTAGTTGAGAATTATGTCGAATTTGAATATACTGGTTCCCTCTGGACAGGGGTAACCTTCTACCACCCGTTTCAACTTCACCGGGCGACATTCGTCACCGAACCTTGAGGTATGAAAACTGTGTAGTTCAATCTTCCTCTGGAATACTACTAGATACTCTCTACCAGATTGCACTGGTTCCCGAAAACACTGTACACGTGTTGATAGATTACAACGCGTCTTATTCGTAATACGTGGTAGAAACGTGTTCTAGCACGGTCCTCAAATCTCAGAAACGATTAACATCAGTATCGACAAAATAGGAGATAATGCCTTTGTAATAGCTCATAAGACTAAAAGTGACAATATCGTCTAACAATTATATGGTATTATCTGCTAATTACTTACTGCTTATTTACTATTTTATCGTATTTCTCGAAGGACGTTGTAACAGCAATTATAAATAAAAAAGAATTAAAAAAGTTACTACTGTATACTAGATATTCTCCCAAATTCATAAAAATTCCTAGCATATACTACTAAAGATGTTATGGATAAAAAGGGAGAAATTTTATATACCTAGAATACGCAAACATTCTGAACAAACAGAAATTCTAGGTCTTGACCACACTATTATGGATTTCTCAGCTATGGACGATGATCCATCAACTTGTGATGACTAACTGATTTCGATATTCAAAATAATTATACTAATATTACATATATTCTCGTACTTTATGTTATCAATAAGCAAGAATAGCAATAGACTAAGGCATGGTCTAAACTAACTTGTAATATACAGCAGGCTTGTCGCTAGTGCCGAGCCATTCGGCGACATCTTCGGGATTACTAATAGTGGCCGACACTGCCACAAATCTAATTTTAGGCGCGGGCGTGACAATTTCCTTAGAATTCCCATTCGTTCTGCTCAACTTCTGTAGTTGCTCAATGCGATGGGCGGACTGCATCGATGTCTGGTAAATTGTTCACTGTTATATGTAGTTAAGTAGAAAGTGATGCTTCATTGAAACCGTCTTTAATACCTAGATGATACATTGATCGTAACTTTCATAATCATGAAAACTCTTTCTTCTTTGAATCGTATCTGAGTTGTAAAGGATGACTAGTACTCTCTTGACCGACCTAATATTGTTTCAAACCTGATAAGTATTGAGGAGACGTAAGAGTCCGTCAAATGGAAAACCGAAGCCTGCTATCTCAAGACCAAAACGTTATTCCCTTTCAATTACTTCTAATATTCGTAATCTAAATACCTCTTTCATATGCATAATATATCATTCTTCGCGTAATCCATCCAAACATTTCCAGTCTTCAACCAAATTCATACTCAAATCAACACTTTGTCGCATGACTTTCATCCCTTCCAGCTGCTTTAGGACCAACACTGAGTGAAATATTTAGTTTATGATAGCGAGAGGTTCGTCTTATGTTTAGTGATTACCGCTGCCAATGTATATTGGATACCTATGATGTGATGGCAACGTCGCCAACCATAAAAGTGGAACACCTTCATGGGACGAAATGCTAAGATACTGTTGCTATGCACCGATCTTCGCCGAGGAACGTCTCGGTAGACGCTATTCCTCTGACTATATCTAATGTATAAATATCTATGCTAAAAATTATATCTGTTATCAAAATAAAGCGTTACTAAAAAAACTGGTTTGATAAGAATGAAATTGCATTTTTTAATTTGAAATCAGTTCTATTCTTGTTTTTGTTCACCTTTTCTTGGCGCTCAATAAAGTACATTCTTTTATTTCAATATTTACTACTCCATAACGAGATAAAAGAAAATTTTCGTTCTCTGGATCACATCAAATGTAAAATCGCTGTCTTATTCGATATATTTTAATATATTTGAAACAGATTAAAAAAATCTCTTGTTGAAGCAGCTATTTACGCATTTAAAATAAAAATCATCGTCATCGGATGCAATAAGCATATTAAAGATTGAGGACATGAGACATTCCTTGTAAGAGCATAAAAGCTCTTTAAATGCGGGTAGTTAAATAAAAACCTAACGCAAAAGATTAGAACGCTCTTTATCTCTCTCTCACTAGAAAGTAGTTAGAGAGAGATAAAGAGATAGATAGAGAGAGAGAATGTAATGCGTACTTGGACGGCCTTCATTCGGCTGACAACCGCCTCCAGCACTGGCCCCCGGGTGGGCTCGTTAAGGATGTGCACCTCGTCGATGAGGAACAGCTTGATCAACTCTACCATGGCTCTGTTGTCACGCCAGCGGCGCGTCAGCATGTCCCATTTCTCCGGCGTGGTGATTATGATCCTAACGGCCGAGCGGCAAAAGTAAAGCCTATGTGTAAATAAAGTAACAGTAACATTGTCCACCACATATTCGACCACGAGATCCCACCGCGGTTTATAAATTATCACCCTATATAATTATGGCCCACTGCTGAACAAAGGCCTCTTTACATAGGGTATTAAGGGCGTATACGTATGTATATAAATTATAGCCTATGTCTTATTCTGATGTAAGCTATATTATTGTAAAGTTTCATTAAAATCCATTCAGTACTTATTTGCGTGAAAGAGTAACGAACATCCATCCATACACACAAACTTTCGCCTTTATAATATTAGTAAGGATGTACTCGTATCTTCGAAATATTTTCTTATTATTATTATTGCGAAAATATGCAGATTTCCTCACGATGTGCTCCTTCAACGCTGAGTACGTGATAAATCAGCATTTAAAGTTAACAATTTCATTGGTGCTAGCACTGGTATATGCGATGCAAGCGCCCGGACGAGCGAAAAACGAGCGGCAAACGAAACCGATTTAATTATGTATTTATTTTATCTACCTTTCAAACATTCATACTTATATACCGTGTAACACAGAGTGACCTTATTGTAACCTCATTTCTACTAATTTTATAAATTTCATTTCAATAAGTACTTTCTTTTTTGTATTAGTTATTAAAATTTATTATTATTATTGAATGAGCACATTTATAAATAGATCAATTAGTTTTTTTATTTCATTAAGATCGCAAATTTATTATTGTATAAAGTGTTTTATTTTTATAACTTATATTTTATGTCATCAAACAATATTAAGTTATTTCAATTATTCGTAAGAAGCTTTACCGACAGGCGTCGAGTGGGAATGCGGACACGCACTGGCCTGTTCAATAAAACAATATTCACATAAAACAATGGATATTTGAATCAACAGTTTGTTCCGTCCATGCAAAAAAAGCCTATAAGTATATTACACAATTTTTTTCCATTAACTTTCCAAATAAATAATAAATACCTGTAAGGTTTCAATTGAGAGAAATCGACATCAGTGTCCCCGGTCACTTCGATGCAAAGCAGATTTAGTTTCGTAAATTTTGGATACCATTCCGTCAGTCTTTCGGTGCACAACGCTTTTATAGGTGCCACTGGAAATAGTCCAGTAGAAGTAACTAAACCTTACCCCGTAAAATATTAACAATAATACAAATATAAATATAAAAATAAATAAAATATATTGACGCTATTTTTTTTTAAGTGACAAAGTTTCAAACAAGCCAGCGATTCGCCTGTTGTAAAGTGATAACCACCGCCAATGGACATTTACAATAAAATAAAGACAATTGCAATACCCGTAGGGTTGCAGATGCGTTACCACCTTTCAACAAAGTGGGCCCCGGCTACCTCACTCACCAGACGAAACGCAGAAGTGTTACACATCTACTTTACGCCGATCTTCTGTGAGGTCGTAGCACTTCGTTGTACCCAGGCGGACCTGCCCTATCGTGCAACAGCGAACACTGTTGCGTGGCCCTACCACAGAAGACAAGACCATTTTTTCATTTAGGAAATGTACTGATGATGATCTTTAAACACTTGACAGATCCTGATAAGTTATAAAGAACCGTTTTGTATATATCAGCTTTCGAAGTTCATTCGTTTGGGTAGTATGCTACGATATCACAGACACAATGGTGCCCACTCCGATACACGTCAAATTTTTAAAACCATTTTATTACATCGGGAGTTATAATAACTACTGGTAGTAAAGTAAGCGATACTATATTGTTTGCTTTTTCTTTTTTTTTATGTGAAAAATTGACAAGCGAGCAGGCCGTTCATCTGATGTTAAGTGAATACCGCTACCCATGGATATCTACCACACCCGAGGGTTGCAGATGCGTTGACAACCTTTAGAAAAATTGGGCTCCGGCTACCTCACTCACCAGACGAAACGCGAAAGTATTATACTTCCACTTAACGCCGATCTTCTGTGAGAAGCTGCTGCGTGGCGCTACCACCATACCGAAAACGTTTTCTTATCTGCTGCGTATACTCTTTATGAAGCGGAAAGGTGAGGGCCATTGGCAAAAGACAATATGTTATTCTGAATCATCGTACACACTTCGGGGTATTTTGACTGACAATTCGATAATCATAAATAAGTATCTGACACGATTTTAATATGGTATAATCACATATTCGTAAATTTTACGTACTGTAAATGATTTTAAAATCCTCAACACCGTTTCTATCGTCCATCGCCATTAGTAATTGTACTATGGCCATTTCGAAAACAACGGTTTTACCGGAACCGGTAGGAGCGCACACGACCATAGACTTATCTGTTAAATATACAATGTCTGTTCACACAATTCTTTACAACTATGGAGTGTAAGTTAAAGAAGTTACGAACTCAAAACTTTGTACTTATACTTTAAACCAAAGTCATCCAAGTAAATATATGTCTTTTAATGCGGCTAATCGTATACTTAACAAATGTAAATGATTTGACCAATATTTTTCGTTCCTATATGATTGACTGTATGCCTATCAAATTCTCGCGAAATGGATGCCTATAACATTAACGTTTACTTTCAAAAAACTTAATCATTAATACAATTAATGGTTTTTTTAAATAGTTAAAAAAGGGTAACTAAATTTAGTTTTTATTATTTATTATTCTTTATGGTTTATTTTAAAAGTGTAGAAAAAAAATTACCAGAATAAAGCGCGTCTTCAATAACTTTTGTTTGTACGAGATTGAAGTATTGATAATTGAAAACATTTCTGTATTTTGGGTCTGAAATATAATAAATATATTACTTTTATATAAATGTGTCATAAATAAAGAACATCTTAGATAATTCTTGCTTTGGGTGGAAGAACTTTTTATAAATTATAAGTTACTGTAACTGAATTTCCTTGTCGGTCCGAAGGTCTTAGTTTAGTGGTGAATTTTCGTAGGCGGTGATGTTGATAATGATGAAAAAGTTTTTTGTTACAGTAAAATGGCTAAAATTTATTTAGTCTTATAACGTCTGGTAAATAAAAATCTATTCCTATTAATTTTGTACATTACCGTACAAATAACTAACCAATTTCTTCAATGCTTCTTAAACCTCCGCATTCTCCAGTAAACTTTTGTGGCCTAATTGTTTTAAAATTTTTTTCAATGTTTACCAATTTGTACGGTTCTGAGTTGGTGTTACTTGAAGACGGTAAGGAAATCGGTTGAGAATTTTGTATTTCATCGTCTAAGAAGTCTGTAAAATTGTCCCTTAATCCTAAAATTATTAATGCCTACTTACATTATATCTATTTTTATTATGCCAATTTTAATAATATGAATTATACTAACAAGTTTTCCAGCATGATGCCTTTGTATTTTTCTTTTTACTATAAATATTAAAATTTTTATTTGAGATATGCATACAACAAGAGATACAGCAAGTTAAAAATATTGCCGCCAAAAAATATTTTTAAAAGTCATGAGATTAGTGCTGAGTTCTCTGCCAGGATTTCATTTTTAATGTTTTTGTTCTTTTTAATTTTTATGTATATATAAAAAATCTCTCTTGCAAATATAATTATATAAAAACAATTTAGAAAATCCAAAAGTACACGACTCACACGCGTATATTACATGTGGAATACAAGATAATAAACGGAGGGACAATTAAAATGATAATATTAAAAACATATAACTAATGACAACAATTTTTGATCGACTATCTTTAATAACTTTTAAACTGAAAAACTGTGTTCAATAACAAAAATCAATAGAGATCCTGCTTAGAATAAATTAAAACTTATTTAATAAAATTAATCTTAATTCATTGGTTATATTTCTCTAAAACGTAAAGACCCACCGACGCACAGACCAACAGATGGCGGTACACATTTTTTTGTTATGTAATGTACAATAATATAATATAATATAATATTTATTTCTCACCACAACTAATAGCTTAAAATAATTTATTATTTGTTTACACTTTTCGTTCCACTTACATTACAACGTTATATCCAAAAGTTCTTCTGTTTGGACGTAAATATGCTTAAGGAGCCATTCCTGAAGTACACATTTGAGATGATAATTATTTAAACTGAAGAACAATATTTTTCTATTTAATTTATTATACAGGTATGGACCTAGGAAAGCAAAGACCCTATGACTAAAAGATGTTTTTATTGAAATTTATTTAGCAATGTAATGGTTACGGCGAATAACTTCAATTGAAAAGTAGATCAAAGTGTGTTGTTTCAGGACAGTGGCCATTACAAAAAGCTGCCCTAACGTTAATAGTTGAATTTCTTCATACAATTTAACTGTGGGGTACAGACGAGGTTTGAAGAAGCAAACCTTAAGAACTGCTCTTTGAGCTCATTCAATTAGAATAAAATGAGTCTTAGCTGCGCCACCCCACGTAGAGATACAATAACTTAATATAGATTGGCAGAGAGTAAGGAACATCATTTTAACAACATCTTTATTCGTAGATTTACGAAGTTGTATAAAGATATAGGAGATAAGCTTAAGAACCTTGTTTGATAAATTACCTATATGCTATATAAAGGTAAGGTTACGGTCGATGACTAAACCAAGGTGGACAATAGAAGACACTTTTTGAATATACATTTGCGAATCAAATGAATTTATGTTAAAGCCAGCATTAATAGGTTTTACGAATATTTGATGGTAATGTAAAGTGACTCAATGAAAAAAAAAAACGATCTTATAATTTAACGGACAGATCTAGAGTATAGCACTTTCACACGCTGTGCGTTGTGAGCCGTGCAAAATAAAAAAAAAACATAAGGCCACCTTCTCAGAAAACCCAATTCTTCAATTATATAAAAAGTGCGTTGTAGCTTGATGCGTAAGAATTTGACATGACAATGTCATTCTAAAACTGCTTTGACTTGAATTAGAAAGAAGAGCACGGAGAGTTCCGTACCATTATCTAGAAAAATGCCTAAAAATCTTGTCTGTTGTATGGTAGTCCCATTTAACTAAGTATATTTTTTAATATTTGTCGTTATAGAGGCAACAGAAATACATCGTCTGTAAAAATTTCAACTGTCTTATGGGGCCCATTCACTATCCTGCCTGGCAGTTCACCGTGCCGTCAGGACAGACGGGCAGGCGGTTCACCTGATATTAAGTGAGTACGACCGCCTATTAGTATTTGCAACACCCGTGGGGTTGCAGGAGAGTTGCCACATTTTAATAAAGTGGGTCCTGGCTACTTCACTCAGAAGAAGTATAACACTTCCACTTCACACCGGTCTTCTGTGAGGTATTGGTACCTGGACGGACCTGCTCTTTCATGCAAATGTGAAGATTATTACATACTACCAGTTAATCAACATCGGTACCAAAGCATCATTATTAGTCTTATACCTCTGGCTATTAATAAAATTCAAATTGTTAAAAGTTGAAGTAAACGACGAATAACAAAACTTGATGAAATCTACAACATCCGATAACTTGCAGATGCGTTGACAACCTTAAAAAAGTGGGCGCTGGTTTCCAGACGAAACGCGAAAGTGTAATTCCAGTCTTCAGTAAAGCCGTGCTACTTCTTCCCACCCCACATTAAGAGATATCCAAGTTAAATGACATCTCTATTTCGCAAACTAATTAACAGCTTTGTATTATTTTTGTAGATATTCGAAAAATCTATGTTTAATTATTTCTTTCACTATTAAGTAGAAATAGGAAGAAAATATTTGGCATCCTGGTCGGAGGGTGAATTGGGACGCGTCATCAGATTCCGAAAACGCACCTGGCAACACTGCTGTCAAAATCAGGCTCGAAATCCTGTGGCTTTGGCTTGTCATAATATTGCATTTTGTATCGACTGTCAAGTTAACTGTCATAGCATAGGCTTAGTTTTTAAAATATTTTCCTCAATATGAGATTTCTTTTATTTCAACCCTATGTATAAGTCATATCTGTGATATATAACTTTTAACATAAAAATATTTTGCTATCATTTTAAAAATGTGAGAATATGAAAAAGCTTTTTAGTTTTTATGTGGTAGTTTTAATGGTTTAATTTGTAATTAAATGATTTCAGGGAATGTTTTAAAGATTATGAAAATGCTGACACAATAAGCATAGACACTTTGGCATTGGAAGAAATGGTTCAAGAAGAAAGAGCACGGGAAATAGCACAACTAAATACTCTCAGTCAGAAAGTCTGTTATTTTCATACAAGTATATTATACTACAGAAATGCGAAAACGAAGCTAGGAGCTACCTGTCATGAAGCATGGAGAACATTAATAAAAAGAATTGGGGGTACGCCAAACACATGGAAGGATCTTGGGAATTGTTTAGGTTTAACACAAGATGATTTGGATGTAAGTAATGTTACACCATTATTTAGCTGTTATCAATGATATTTTATTCTATAGATATGTTGTTAACGCGCTCTAAGTGTAGCCACGAAAATGTTCCAATTGGTATGTTTTGAAAATTTTGTACCAAAAAATCCATTAGCATCGGGTGTTTTCACCTAACAAAAATTTTTATTTGGTAGAGAAAAATCACTAATGAAATAATCAACAACCAGATTTGTCTGGTCTCTTATAGTTTACGAGAAAATGACATGTAAATCTAATTAAAACTATAATTGACAGAGACACAATAATTTGTTTCCATTCATAAAAATAATTTAAAAAAAAAAGCTTTATATGAGACAAAATAGAAAAAATGAATGTTGTGTCGTGTTGTGTTCGTAATTTTTAATTTTTTTATTATTTTAATTATTTAATTGTAAACTGAATATTTTTTTCTTTTGCATAGTATAGATTTTAGTATTGAAGTTTAATGGTTGTTTTTATTTAAGAACAACTTTTAAAACAGATTTTAATTTATCAATTGTAGTTTCTATTGTAGAGCATAAATAGAAACAATTATATAAACAATTTATTAAAATAAAATTCTCATACATTCTTAGAAGTTTAGACAAGCTAGATCCTTATAGCTGTATGGCATATCAATATTTTTATTCATATCACTAAAACAGGCCTGTTTTCCTTTCAGTACATAACAAATAGTGTGAGGGAAAATCCAGCTGATACAGTGCTAAAAGTGTTTATGCAAAATGAAAAAGCAACATTAGATAAAGTTTTGGATGCTTTAGTTAATATGAAGCGATATGATATACTTAAAGCTGTTGAAGAGCCATTTTGTGAACTATCTCAATGTTTTAATAGAGATGATAGTGGTTATGATAGTGCAAGTAAAACCACCGGCACAAGGGAAATAATAAGTTTCACAAAAAACCTAACTATAGATTTACCGCCAGCTTTGAATAAAAACTTTGTGATAAAAGATAAAGAGCCTGGCAAACCCAATCAACCAACTCTTAGACCGTCAATTAAAAATGATGTGAAGAAGATAGAAAATGAAGAGCCAATTTTATTTTTAACATATACCGAGGATGGTTTCACAACAGCAGCTAATATTAAGCAATATGTTAAGAACTGGACAGATTATTCACGAGTAAATGTCATTACACTTAATGAGCGAAGAGATGAAGTTTACCAAAACCCAGAAAAATTCATAAGAGAGTACTTTGAAAAGGTACCTAAATTATTTAATTACATAGTGAAGCAGTAGTCTGTCATAGTAAATTAATATGACATTTTGCAATGATTTAATTTCTTAATCCTTTTGGATTAGATATTAAAGTTCTTCTACCCACATTAAACTTCTGCTAGTGAAAAACCATTGTTAAAAGAATTTGAAGTGCTCCACTGGGCCTCAACCTGTAGATGACCTTCATAATGCAACATTTCATTATTAGGCCTTTTAAAGGAATTTCGCTCAGCCAAATCTTTAAATGAGTGCATCCAGTTGAAGCCAGCCAGTATGCCAACCACTAGTAGGCATATATTTAAATAATATAAACAAAATATAATATTTTTTGCTTGTGATCTTTTTGATTATTTTTTTTTCTCTTTACATAAAATCTTTTTTTTTTTAAAACATTATCCTGTGTTGTAAGGACATTTTACAAACATAAATTTCACACTGACAAACACCCAGATGTGAAACAAAACTCTCACACGGGTCACACAAATAGTTGTCCCGTGTGGGAATCAAACCCACAATGCCGAAACCAATACCTTGGCAACTGTGCCACGGAGTCATCAAAAATACATTTATATATAAAATTCTCGTGACAGTTTTAGTGTGACGCCTTGTCTGATTTTTGTGAAATTTTATATGTATATTCAGTAAGTTGAAGAATAGGTTTATAAGTAATTTTTATTCCCCTAAGTGACAAAAGGGTGGTCCACTCCAATCATTTTTTTTACCCTACAAATAATTTATATGGCAAAACAATGTTTGCCAGGTCAGGTAGTTAATATATAAGCAAAGCAGATATAGGTACATAGTTGTGTGTGATACTCATACTAGTACTTTATATTTTAAATTGCATTTACAACTTATGATTAATGACATTGCTTGTTGTTCAACAAATTTCATTCTATTATAAATCCATATCCATTTCGGACTAAAAGTAAAATCAAGCCATTAAAAACATGTAACATAGAAATTTTGTTTCAGGCTGACTATATAGTACCTATAATAACTACAGGATACCTGAATGAAATAAAATCACATATACCAAGAGTGCCCACTACTAATGATAACTTGGACTTTAAATATGTTAACTTTATATATAATTTAATAGTTAACCATTACATTCATGCATCTGGATGTTTGAATCAAAAAGTACGAAGTGTACTGCCACAAAATGCAGAGGTTAATGTCTTAAGAGATATAACAATGTACCCCGATTTGATGCCTTGGACATATGAAACTAACTTTGATGAAAACTTTAAAGCTTTTTTGAATAAAGAATACTCAACATTTTAAACCAAAAATTCTTGTAATTTTGTTTTATCAATTACCTTTAATGGCAGTTAAAAATATATTAAAGAATTAGATAAATCTTGTGGTTTTTATTTATTCAAAATACCTATTATTTTAGGCTTGAAAAATACAAAAGACGAGATAAAAGTTCTTGTGGAAATATGTAAACAGAAAACATTAGAAGAAGTCATATAATCCACAAATACATTGTTAATCTTATAAATGAAGATAAAACAAGATTATTATCTAAAATATTATTTGATTTAACGGTAATTTTAGTTACTGACTGACATACTTGGCTTGTTTATGAAAAGATATAAAACTGTCAACTAGTTGTCAAAGAAATTATTAATCCTTGTTGTCAGCAGTAGAGTCTGTTGTATTTGGTGCCTCATCTTCTGTAGCATCAGACTGGCTTACATCATTTACATCTATGCCTGTGTCATCCTTACTGCTATTCGCCAACTCCTCCTAAAATGTTATTATATAAAAGTTCATTATCATCATAATTTTAGCCTTTTTACCCCCCCCTGCTTGACTACCACAAAACACAATCCTGAGTGATCTGCACCTATTGACTTCCCACACATTTACACAAGTAGTTACATCCCCCATACCAAAGTTAACAAAAATGTTTTCATAAAAAAAATTTATGGCTGCACTTATGTACACATGTCAAGTGTACTTATGAAAATATAAAATAACTAAAAATTTTATCACATGTACCTATTGATTTTGGGATAGCTTGAAACTATGGGTAAATGTAAAAAAGTTGTTACTGCTTGCCATGGTATTACCATGAAGTTTGTAGTTGACCGTTTGCTAGCACATTGTAAAAATTTTACTCTCATATTTTGTTCCAAATTTTCTAAAAAAGCATAAATTCATAAAAAGGAGAATAGTACCTTGATAACTTCCACAAAACTATTAGCTTCTTCCAACATTTGCTTGAAAAGAATATTCTCTTGCTTTAATTCCTCAATAATTTTACGAAGTTTTTCATTCTCTTCTAGTGCTTCTTGCAGTGCAATTCTGCAAATTATAATGTAACTTGTACATAGTATGGAAAAAGCCTTTTATTAGCAAATTAATGCATTTGTTGATTATTAAACAATATGATGGTAAATTTAAAGTACAAATGTGAAAGAAGTGGATTTTATCATATATAATTGAAATGCCCAATGTTCTGAATATTTTGTCACAGGCTTTTCAGTGACTTTAGTGCATCAAAAATGCATAAAAATATTTTCATTTTAGTAATGTGTTGGGTTTACATAAAAATAATAAAACTTTTTCATAGGACAATTTCATTGACATTGAATGAAGATATTTTACTGGATTGTCATATTCATAAGGAAAATGTATGTTAATTGTGGCAATAAACGGTTTTTACACAAGTATTGTACTTACTGACGCTTTCCAGCCAATATTTGCCAGTATTTTTCAGAAGCTCCCTTTGGGTTTGTTAAATCACTGGCTGATATTTTGCTATCTAGATTTACTTGTGTCTCTTTGCTGGATAAATTTTTCCTTTTAACTTCCACATCTCTGCAAATTAAGTTTATAGATATTGTTTATTGTAAAATTATAGTATGTAAAAGTAAAGTAACAGCAGTAATGCCCCATGATTAATTTAAGGTCTTCTCTGTTTATTGGGTATCAAGGCATAACTCATTGTGACTTCACAATACCTCACATATGGTTGAAAATTTTTATTATTATGTTAGAAATATGCAGAGATCCTCAAAAAAAATGCATTTGTGCTGGGGACTGCATTTGAACTCGGCTTGTTTGAATATATTAAATGAGTGGCTGTAATTTTAAATTTGTTATACTATTGATGATGAAGCTCTGGAGAGAATACATATACTTGACTCTTAAAGGGGTGCAAAAGCTATCACTGAGTTGTTCATTTACCATCCAAGAACATACCATTGGGTTACTAGTTACGCACTGGTCTTGAAAAAAAATTTTCCCCTTGTCATTTCGTTATTATTCAGAAAAAACATATTGATTATGTTATTAAAATGTAATAAAAACAACCAGACTTGCTCATGGAACTAACAATGGTACTTACAGAAGAGATTCTTGACTTAATTGATGTTTCAAACTCTTTGAAGGTCTACCCACCAAATTTTCTCTATCATTAGCGGTGTGTTGAAGCGTTTTTAATGATCTTCTAGTTGTACGCGGCATGTCCTAGGAATAACAAGAAACATTAAAAATGTTTGCAACTGAATGAAAAATAATTTAAATTAAATAGTACGATACCTGAATTTCTTGAGAACTCATAGTAGTTTAAAACTGAAAACGTTAAGGTTACGATTACTCGATGAAAATTATTCTATAAACGAATTACAATATTTGTCTTATTAGTCTTTTCTTTTAGTTTATAACTTCTTCGTTCAGCATCTTCTAGCTTTAATAACACTTACATAAATAGTGAGACTGAGAAGAAAACAAAACAAATGTCCGCTCAGCAACCCTTCAATCACACATCAGTCAAAAACTCAAAATCAGTCAGTCAATACTCAATAGACAAAATCAAAATTAATGATAATGACCATAGAGCAACTTTGTAGAATTGCTATTGCTAATTGCTATGACCGACGAGTCGGCGACCGTTGATTTGACATTTATTTTCCCGCCATTTTTTTTTAATGCTTGAATGATAAACAGACCAGTCAGCAACCTTGTGCCGGATTTTCAAAGCTCTTTACTTGAAGAAAATCAGACTTTCAACGCTCCCTTCGTAACGTTGACACAGCCGCATTGACTTATCAAGCTATTTTAAAATAAAAGATTTTATTTTTAATTGCTTGTTGATACAAACCTGATATACCATGATGCTTTCCGCTCCAGCCGCTCCACTAACTTCCCTGACCCTTGTAGATGATAGATGGAAAATCAAGTAACAGGCTAACAGGGGCACGACACAATCAAAGGACCATCAGATAGAGGTTCGAACCTCGGTTTGATCGCCAGAGGAACTATCCAGAAAAAGTGACCAGACGAAATTGCGATCATATCACAAAAAGTAAAAGATATGCTCGAAATTGTCGCTGTAGGATTTATTAAAATTTATACAAAAAATAATGAATAAAGATTATACAGATATTACGTTAATATAAAAATTACAGAAACAATCTATTTAAATAACAATACCAAGTATCAACACACGATGTTAGAGACCTGGAACAAGCAGATATCGCTTCCACATTGCGTAATCGGGGACCTCGTGTTCGCCTCCTGAATGTGCTTAGTGTAAGTTCGTGTCATGAATTACGGTGTGTCGTACATTCGGATTCGCACAGATACTGGGGTGGTATTCACTGATGTTTTTGCTTTCAGTCCCGAGACTATTAAAGCTTCATCGGACGCAGAACCGGTGGGCTAGCCAGAACCCACGGGTTTGGACCCTCCGCTATGGGTAGGGTCGCGCATGTGCTCATGCGTGCTTTTAATTATGGTGTGTCATCTAAGGGCCGTCGAGGTCGCGGTTCGGACCGAGACCCCGACGGCCGTTGACTGTGCATTTAGCTAATCGGTGGCTGGGAGCGGTGAAAACCGCCCCGGAACGCGGGTGTACCTTGTGTAGGCGTTGTGTGGGTCTCGCCGTGCTCGGAGGCGAGGGCGTACTGGTGTGATTGTTGTTACACTAACTGTGGGTGTAGTGTTATCCGGCGGGACCCCCGGCGGTGGGTCCATCGTATCTAAGTCCTCTTCGTCGACCGGGTCAATGAGGACGTTTCGCGGGCGACGCTTGTTTACGTTCGCGTTAGTGTCCGGTTGGTAGTTTCCTGCGCTTACCACCAGAGGGTTGGGATGATGCTGGACTCTATCGAAGAACCGTTTTGTCAAATCTTTAAAATGTGCGCGAATCGTCGGGAGTCTGCAATCGCTGTGCAGGTCGACGTTGCGCTGATACCACTGCGCACCGGTTGCCCGGCGGATAAACTTATTTTGTACTATTTGCAACTTGTACAAGCGAGTAGGGTGCGTGTGGGCGAAGATCATACATGCGTAGGACATAATAGGTCGTACGCAGGTCTTATATAATAATAATTTGTGCCTTAAGGGCATTTTACTTTTAGCGTTAGTTAAATTGTGTAGCCGGCCGGAGACGAACTCGGCTCTATTACGAACGTTATTAATGTGCGTAGTAAATGACATACGCGAGTCGAAAGTGACTCCTAAGTATTTGACCTTTTTCTCCCAGGGGAGCGGTTGGCCATAAAGGATATTTGCCCCAACTTTCTGCATTGGCGAGGGCCATTATAAAGATGTGACGGGTAGGTACTTCGTGTGAAGTGAATCGCCACACTCTTTTCGGGATTTATTTCTATTCTCCATTTGCGGAACCAATCGCCGAGGCGGTCGGCGGCGCTTTGGAGTCGAGTGGTTAGTATTCTAAGGTTGCGGTCTGAATAAAAGAGCGCGGTGTCATCCGCGAAAAGCGCGAGATTGACGTGGGGGTCTTTGGGTATATCGCTCGTGTAGAGCGTAAAGAGCAAAGGTGAGAGGCAGGAGCCTTGTGGTACGCCGGCCGTGAGGCGGCGGCTTGTGGAGAGGGTGCCCTCGACTCGATATCGAAAAGAGTACTGGGATGGTTGAGACGGTTGTCGAACCATCTGGGGATGATATGACTCGGAACATTACTCCCCGGCCAGAGTTGAGGGGCAAAGTTGCAGAAGACCTACTGGAATGAAATTACAGTCGAGACCATTATCAATCTGTGTGAATAAATCTTAAATCTCTGTGCCTGGAAGATATATGAGTTAACACGCGACAAAGATATTCAGCAGAAAATCTATCACTCACCGAAAACAAGGATCTGCGGGCTCATCAACGCACCCCTCCGAGTGAGTTTTTACCTTATCGGGTGGAGGGACTATGTGGCTTGGTCACCCACGGCGAAGCACATCATGTGGTCGAGTCAAAGAGCCCACTGCATGTGGACACATCGGAGGATTAGGATCCACAGGATAGGTTGAGTGTAATAAAGTTGGCGCTACTTTTTTAACGGTGGTAGAGCCACGCAGTAGCCTCGGCTGTTATATGAATGGGCAGGCTCGTCCGGGTAAGTACCACGACCTCACAGGAGACCGGCGTAAAGTGAAAGTATGACAAATTAATACTTTCGCGTTTCTTCTGGTGAGTGAGGTAGCCGGAGCCCAATTTCCAAAAAAGTTGTCAACGCATCAGCAAACCCTCTGGTGTAGCAGATGTCCATGGGCGGCGGTATTCACTTAACATCAGGTGAACCGTCAGCTTGTTTGGCAACTTTTCACATAAAAAACAAAAAAAAAACTCTCTCTGACCACTGCAACCAAGGTGTAGTCGAGGAGAAAACGAGTATTGCGTTTATTTTTGGAAGTTAAATTGAATTATTAGTAGAAGATTACCCAGAAATTGGCAAAACAAAGTTTAGCATGTTTTTAAAAATGTATGCGGTGGGTGCTTTGCTCAGCGTGGTGGTACAGTGAATGGCAATGAGTTGTCCGTGTCTCTAAAAAGTATCTCTGGGTTATCTTTGTACCGTACGAGAAGAAACGTTTCCGAATGCTAACTGTTAATTGGCCTAACAGATATTTCTTTCTTTCCATAACTAAAACCAAAATTCTTTCCGAACGAATCGAACGCGAACAAGACAGAGAGAGAGAGAGAGAGAGAAGAGAGAGTCGATTGTTGACAGTTGACCGAGTAAAATGAGTATATCGGTGAAGAGCCGACGAATTTAGATATTATCGACTGAGACTATAGATTTACGTTTTATAAATTGATATATAACGACTATTTTAGTTTAACGGTGAAAAAACGTGGGTGACTCGTGTCTAACGTCTACTTGATAAATACCTATATATTATAATTCAACAAGTCAAACTTTGAGAACGTAAGATATTTATGTGTAAATAGTGGAGTGTTTGTACTTCTTACTTTTTTAAATATGTACTGATTACACAATGATATTTCTTATAGTACAGCCAACCAAATTCGAAGACCGAAAGAGCTAAAAGAACTAATAGAATGAATTAGTTCAATGTCCAAAATGAACTAGTTCAGAGCACTCTTCTAAATGACCGAGCCGTCACAAGACTATTATAGAGAAAAAGCCCTAAATGATACACTTATGTATTGAGAAGAAGCTGTCGAGGCCTCTGGGACCATTACTAGGTCAACGGCAAACTATATTAAAAAAAAATTTTTTCATAGTATTTAATCTATATTTCTAATTTACTTTGTCTGTGTTAGTGAGAATTTATGAATCCATGTCAATTGTCAATCAATGTATGTAGTCGTATACTCTGTGATTATATATCGGAATATATTTTGATTTTTAGTTAGTGTTTTACCAAGGTCCAAACAGAACTTAACAGTCCTTACCTTATTATTTTGTAAAACTATTATTGAGTGATATGTAACTAATAACTTCATAATTGTGGCTGTGTTTGTACCTACAAGTGGTACCACTTTTATGTGGTCTTGTTTTGTTTTTTCTTGAGAAATACTTGATATAGTGATATTTTTGTTTACTTTGGATTAATAAATTTGTTTTCAAATGGATACATTAAGGTAAAAAAATAACTTGTAAAAATGCTATAAAACCAAACTTTAATTTTTATATAAATATTTATTTAACTGAAACCTTCATATTTACAGGTTTTACTTTGTGACCTGGAATGTAGCTACCAAGTCTCCGGGTCAAGATTTAAATTCTTTATTAGATTTTCCATCACAGTTCAATAAAAACAAGCCATTACCGGATTTTTATGTCATTGGGTTTGTATATAATATTTGTTTTCAAATACCTATTTAAAATATTGTTTAGTCCAGTCTTAAAAGTACCAAACTGGAATTTGAATCAATTTGTTCCTTTATTAATTTTAACTTGAAACTGATATATACCCTGTTAAAACTGATTGTAATCATTTTAAATGTTATTTTAATCCAAAGTGCATTACTGTTTATTATCATCAAAAATAAATCTCTGAATCATTATGCATGGCTTTTTGTCTTGATATAACTTTTTTGTACATTACTCACAGTAGCTATTTAAAAATGTGATCTTTTTTGCTTATAGCCTGCAAGAGGTGAAGTCCCAGCCACAGAATATGGTAATGGATAGTTTGTTCACTGACCCATGGACCTCCACATTCAATAAAATTCTTTGTAGGCAAGGCTATATCATTGCAAAAAGCATACGACTACAAGGAATTTTAATGTTGGTTTATACTCAAATGAAACATGTGACACATTTGAGATATATAGAGGCTCAGTACACTAAAACTGGTTTAGGGGGATTGTGGGTGAGTTTTTAATGTACATTGTTTCTTAAATAAGAATATAAACTTTTATTTAATTTAAAATTATACAATTTATCTGAAGCAGTGATTTGTAATAAAGTAAAGTATTAGCCTATACATGTTCCACTGCTGGGAAAAGGCTTCCTCTGTACAGAGGGTATCTGACCCCCCCTGTAGCAACTGTAGAAGTGTTTCACACTTTTTGGTTCACTCGTAGTGGATCTATGTCAAACGTGTCCTGTTTATTTGTGCTTCATTGCTAACCCGAAATAAACAGGTAACAAAGGGCGATCATAATGCCCAAAGGCATTCTCTACAAGTCTACCCAGGATGTAGTGAGAAAATAAACATAAGATAAATGCATATAAGTATAAGGAATGCAATATACAACTAATATTTCAGATTAAACAATACCTATACAATGATCATGATAAATAGACAGCATTAAAATAAATAAAAAATGTGGTAGGGCTACGCAACAACTGATGCTGCTGTTGTAAGCATGGTGTGAAATAAAAGCTTATTAGTACTTTTTGTTTTGTCCTTCAGTTGTAGTATTTTCTTGTGGGCAATAAAGTATATTCTATTCTTGTAGATGTTGTTAGGTGGCGTTTATCACATAACTTCAGCTCCAGTGCACATAAATCTTGAATTTACTAACTCGGGTGTCAAAATGTTTACTTGCATAAATAAAATATAACTATAACACTAATCACATGCCTTTATCAAGTCATCTTTTAACTTGTAAATGGGTAAAGACTGCCTCTGCTCCAACAGGGACAAATTTGTCTTTTTGCCTAATGAGGACTTTTCCCTCCAATAACATGCTTCTTTCACTCTGGTAGATCCTTTGGGGTTATCCCCGAACCCCTCAAGATGGCCGCGAGCGCTGGAAGTAGATCTATCCAATTCTTGTTAAGACCTGGGGGCAGGGTTACCATTTCTTGTTCGCTCTGAAGCATTTTCTGTTCTCTTCTTTCTTTGGCCAAAGCCGACTGCATTATCGCAGCCTGCGCCAGAGAACCGTCAGGGTTCTTGACGTTTCTCACTGGTGACAGATCGTGAAGCGCCCGTCCATGCCCTTGAATAAATTGAGGCTCATCTTCCAGCAACTGTATGGCTATCCAGAGGGTATCTGGGGCATAGTAATCTAAAAAATGAGTTTGAAATTTTATATGTGTAATATTTTTAAGTAAAGGATAGTAATCTCCTTAGTCTTTTAAAAATATTGTTTGAATATTTTTCCATCCTTTTTTTATTTTAGGGTAATAAAGGTGCAGTGAGTGTAAGATTCAATATTTATGGTTGCTCCATATGCCTTGTTAACTGTCATTTGACAGCACATGAACACTTACTTGCTGATCGTATAAATGATTACAACACTATTATAAAGCAACATCTATACCATGTCACTGAAACCAGTAACATCCTGTACCATGAGTAAGTACCTGAACTAATAATTAGTTCAAATTAGTTTTTAAATATATTTATATGTTTGTTATAAATATTTTATATTATTGGGTAGGTGCTGGATGCAAATAACAAGTTTAATATGGCCGATTAATATTTTTTTAAGAAATAAATATAAGGTTTTTACTATAGCTGCTGCCCACGACAACATCTGTGTAGTTTCATTAAAGTCATTTCATTCTGTAGTATTTGGGTTAGAGAGTAACAAACAACCATGCATACATGCAAACTTTTGCATTTATAATATTAGTAAGCATGTTGATTGATAAAAAAATCATGATAAGTTCTATGATTTAGTTTTATCATGATAAAACTAATTACTGTAAACAAGTGTTAAAGAAAATTATAATTTTCAAAATACCCTGCAATGTCTACATATTTTTTGGTACTATTTTATTGACATCTGAATAATTTAATTATTTTGTGATTTCTTACAATATCCATATCATTTCATATATTATAAGTAATGTTACATAAAATTACTAATGCTTCTATATGTATTATATTTAAACAAATATGTTCGTTTATTATCTTAACATATAATATATACAACATATAATATATTAACATATAAAATATATAATAACATACCTTACTTGTGACTTTGGTCACATTCTTTTATTTGGGTAAGGGTAGTAAGAAGCATCTGATACCCACAATTCTATTCATCTAACTCTGAACATAAATTAATTAAGCATTAGATCAATATATTAAAGAATGAAATAAATTAATAGAAAAATATTTATATTCTTAGAGATTTCCTTTGAAAAATAAAAAGAGTAAAGATAGCACTGATGCTGATACTAACTGTGTAATAAAAATTATGGAAAGTACAGCTTAGATTATTTTTAACATTATTTTAACACTCATTTTTGATGTCTCTGCACTCAAAATGAAACTTAAAATGTGTATATTAAATGTCGAAAAATTTTTCGCCGATGGTAGGATTTGAACTTGCGCCTTCGGTAAACGCGCCCAGACAGCACTCGAACACTTTATAAAAGTTTAAAAATATAACTAAAACCTATAAACTCTTATCAGTATTGCTAATTATCATGTTTCAGCAGCAGTAAAGTTGATAAACATTGGGGCATTATCTTGAGCCAATTCAAAAATTATTTTTGAGAATAGTTTTCAATTTAGTTATTATTATTTATATTGTCGTTTCAAGAATAAAAATTGTGCAAAGAATCAAAGTAATTGTGGCCTATTTAGAATTTTGCCAAGGTATTGGCTTCGGCGTTAGGGGTCGTGGGTTCGATTCCCACACGGGACAACTATTTGTGTGACCCACAGATAGTTGTTTCGTATCTGGGTGTTTGTCCACGTGAAATTTATGTTTGTAGATCGTCCTTACAACACAGTATATTGTTATCCTAAAGCAAGGCCAATGTTATTTTGTAAATTGTTTCAAGTGGGCTTATGCATCAAAGAGGTTCTGAACAGTCCTCGCATTTGCAGTTACGTGTTTTGGTTGGGCGATTTGAATTTCCGCACTGACCACCCCGCCGGTGCGAGCCCCTCGTCAGAAGAGATTGTCGCCGCCCTGCGTACAGTGGAGAAGGACAAATACACCTCACTATTGAGGCACGACCAGCTTGTCGCCGCGATGGAGGCCGGCGAGGCGTTCTCAGAGTTCACCGAGTCCGAGATTCGATTCCCGCCCACCTACAAGTTCAACATCGGCACCGACGACTACGACATGAAGTGAGTGTTTGTAGTCGTATAAGATATTGCTTTTCTTGAATTGTTGAGTTTAAAATACTTATTGCTTATGAGTTTTATATAAAATTAAATAATTAAATAAAAATTGTAAACAGTTATAATCTTTATATATATATAGTTCTACTGTACGTGTGTTATTACTGAACCTCTCCTAAACGGTGCGACCGATTTGAATGATTTTTTTGTATGCGTTTGGGTGGCGCTGGTTAGTTTAGATTCACAATTTTTTTTAAGTTTTCGGATTTAAGTCGTGTGTACAGGACAACGTCTGGCAGTAACAGTTTCTGTCAAAATTTGCGCACAATATATTTTAGTTCTATATGATTTAGTTATTCACATTCAGCAAGTAAATTGTTGCAAAATGCTCTTTAACCGACGAAAGTCGCACTGACGTACGTAGTTTAACGATCTCTACTTAGTAGTGGTTTTATTTATATAACAATTTATTATAAAACCAAGGTCCAATTAAAGTGACCTCCTTGAATGTTAACGTACTTCAGAATTATTGACCTCCGTCGACGTTTATAATGAGCTAAATATGATAATGTCTTTATAATGTTTTATGTGTGTGTTGTTAGAATGTGTGTTATTTGTATGTTTATAAAGCGAACGGGGGTAGTTGCTTCAGACCATACTTAATTCTAATTAATACTATAATTTTTTTGAAGTCTTGAATATGTAAACCTACCCTAACACGGTACTACGGAGACTGCCCAGCTGTGGCACAATATAGTGTTGGCTGTTACTTTACTTTTATTGAAAGAGCATCTACTTAATTTGTTAAATAGTCTTATAATATTATTTAACTGCAGCGGAATTCGAGTGAAGACTTCGTGCTAATAACGGCTTAAGCCGTTCTTTGGAACTGATTTCCCACCGTCTTTTTAGGAGAAAGCCCTCGTGGACTGACAGGATACTGTACAAGGTGATTGCGAACAATTACGAAAACATCACTCTGAGGGCCGACGTCATATCTTACAATCACTTGCCGCATTACATAGTGAGCGATCATAAACCGGTGGTCGCTCAATTCTTCGTCAAGGTCAGTGGCTCTTTAAACTCATTAGTTTTTTTAATCGAAGTAACGCATATTCTGTAGTTTCTGCATTAGTACTCATTACTCTGTGACACTAATATGTAGAATAATAAAGCATGACTTCAAGGCTTAATAACGCATGAGCTAATGTAGATAAAATTATCAGTACGTTCTACACACTTCAACCTTAATAGCACGTATGCTGTAGTAACTAGATTTACACCGCAGAATTTATATAGAATAGTGCGGCAACTGGTATTAATACAATCTTTACATATCAATATATTAAATAGAAGTACCTACTACTGAGAAAAAAATAGTTTTATAAAAAAATCCTTTTTACTAGCAAGGCGCGGTATTTGTTTACAATAGCGACACGCGCATTTTTCGTGTACAAATATTTTTAATCAATCGAGAAACATAACTGAAACAATAATTTCACATTAAAACCTAATTTATATTAACTTATAAATAATATTTTTATAAGTATCATTGTTATAAATATTTAACAAAAAGAAACTAAAATTTTTAACAAAAAAATGAATTGAAAAAATGAATGAAAGATTGCATGCAGCTTAGAATTGAAAGATTTGACGTTTTTTTCTCAAAATCTAAATGTCGGTGCCAATTTCTACTTCCTAATTAATATTTCGGTTAAGTTTCTCTATCGATTAATAATATTTGTATAGGAAAAACGCGCGTGGCGCCATTATAAATAGTTACCAAAAACATTAAACTTATTCTTTAAATAACTTTCCCTACGTAAGGATCATCCTTGTAATATTTTCGCCACTACATTTAATATTACTCTGTGGCGATAGTGTACAGTGTATTATAGTCAGCGACACGAATATTCTTCAACAATCTGTACGACCGATACTAGTTTAAGTAATCACTAACGAAGCCAAGGCTTACATATTAGAGATTTTTTTATGAAAAGAATCTTTTACGTAAGTTATTACGTATAAAATATATTGTAATATGTTTACGCAAAACTTTATAAATGTATCTTCTGTTGCGTATTATTCTGTTTGGACGATTTTTTTATACTTCCATTAACATTCTGTTAATCTTCCATGAAATAGGATATCCAGTAAAGGGATTTATTATGCACACACATAGAATCAGAAATATCTTAAGAGGATTATTATTCATTGGGATTACGTATGTGTGCCACCACGTTCACTCGTAATCCCGATTAGTCCGTTGCCGTTTTGACACAATTAGCCATATTACGATTTATTTTCCTGTAAACACTTTAGTATTTTACGGTATTAAATACGGTTTCAACAAATTTTCCGTATTTGGTTTCCTAACAGACGACTATGCTGTTACTAATGTAAGCCAATAATTGCATTAATTTCTTCTTATTTGGGTTTCATGTCTTATAAATGAAATCGATTCCCACTAATGTCTATTAGCTCCGACATAGGTAGTAACGTCAAAACTTACTACTATCATACGTTAGTAAAAAATCCTATAAAACCGCGTTTTATTTGATTAAGACGTTCAAACAAAGACGTTCTAAAAACTAGACTAGACTAGACGTAAAATTTCCACAAGGCAACGCTCATTATTTGTTAATTGCGTCATTTATTAAATGCATCATGATTCCACACAGTTGAGAAATATACAATTAATTATCACCGCTCGGTAATGTCCGAGCTCGCAATCCATGAAGCGCACGCGGTTTAAGTTAGAAGCGTTAGCGGATCACAGCGCTAGCAAATAAACTTAAAAGTGAGTGCTGCAAGCGAAAATAGACCTTAGGGGCCGTCCATTAATCACCGAGGCTCGAAAGAGGTGGAGGGGGTTTGGCATAAATCACGAAATATCACAAGGTAGGGAGGGGGGGGTGTAGTAAGATGTCACGTGTATTTATTTTTTCGATAAACGCGCGATTTCTAAACCGAAAAGCAGTGTGTAGTCTGACCTTGACTCGCTGTTACATCTTTATAATGGTCCTTAATTTCAGAATAAAATTAGATTATACGCTTTATCTGTATTTAAAGATAATATTCTTAATATTCTTAATTCTATATTTAAAAAAATTTTGAGATAGTTCGTAGGTACTAAAAATACACGTGGTTTTGGGGGGTGGGGTGTAAAATCTTAAACCTCACCACGTCTCACCAAAGGGGAGGAGGGGGTAATTAATGCTAAAAACGCCTCACGTGATTAATGGACGGCCCCTTAACGGCGGACCGCACGCTAGATCCCGTGTGCGCTCGCCCTATCTCACGATGCCTCGACGCCGAGCGCGGGACGCTCTGCGGTCCGAATGCGCGCCGCCTTAGTACCGGCCGCCGTCTTGACCGCCGAGCTGGTATCATTCGAAGACAGCTGTGCGTATAGCGAAGCGGTTACCACCGATGAGTGCAGCGAGGCCGTCGAAAGCCTCGCCGATGTTCCCGCTACAGAGGTAAGGTGCACGCGGAACTTGGACTGCTATGTTCCTATCGCTTGCGAGAGGTGAGTTTGTGCATGCTCTGCTTTGGCGCTTTCGGTCTCGTTCTGTTTTAAACGCTTATGTAGAGTTTTTTAAAGTGCAACACTAGAGCTTGTGATGGCTTGGTTCGTGTTAGACGAATGGATTGGTATATTGATGGCCATTTTTAGTAGACGAATACGGTACTAAATGACGGTGAATTTGAAGCAGGTACAATCGTATACTTAACGCGAAGCCTACCGGTCCGTAACCGGGATAACCGGTAGGGTCATCCCGGTTCAATCACAAGGACTGTATGAGAAAAGTCGTTAGAACGCCCAATGATCAGATGTCTAGCAGATTGTCCATGTTCTGCGGGAGCCTAATAAGTTTTCGTATTGAGTCGGCTCGAAAATAGGACGGCCTAAAGTAGGAGTATGTATACTTCAGCATGTCGTCTTGTGAGGCTGTCGACGGCCTCACAAGACGACCATATAAAGGGTGGGCCGTCGAAGATCGACGGCCCACCCTTTATATAGTCGGCAACGCAAGGGTTTTGTTTTGTTGAAATCCATTTATGGAGAAGGTAAAAGTGATGTGCAGGGCCATTGAATGTTGAATTTGTAATTACTGTGATCCTCTCTGGGTAGTCTTTACGTATATATTATTATACTTATGTATATTTTATTTATATCTTTATGTACATGCCTGATCTTCTGCGCCGGGGGCTGTGTGTTCGATCCCTATTTCTAGAAAATATGATGCCATGACCATAGTGTTCTTCCAGTGTCTGGGTGTTTATATATCTTGAATATGTATTTCTTTACAAGACAAAAGTACGTAGAAGTTTTGTCTATTAGGTACCTAGGACCCATATTAAAAGCTTGTCCGTTGTTCAAATATGATCTGGACTTCTTTTGGCACGTTTGCAAAATTATGAGATTAAAACCGACATCGACCGTTACAAAGCATCATGCTTGGTAACCAATAACAACTTTTTGACATTTACCAATATTTCCAAGTTATCTAAATAAGCCGTTATCTTTTTTTATTTATATATGCTACTAGCGGACCTGACGGACGTCCTGTACACACGACTTAAATACGAAAACTTCAACTTTTTGAATAAGTTTGTGAATCTAAACCATTCTCGAATCCACCCAAGGACACACAAAAAGTTTCACTAAAATCGGTCCATCCATTTAGGAGGAGTTCTGTGACATACACACGTACAGAAGAATTATGTACATAAAGATGTATTGTTAGATGTACAAAGTCCTCATTGCCTGAATATGTGTATGTAATATTGGATTAAATGTGTGCCGTACTATTACGGTGACATATTTGTTTTAATCCAATCGTTCGTAGTATTGCTCAATCACGCGATCGATTTCAGCGCTATCTGGAACGCTGGAAAATTTCCTCGAAATACTATGGAAATATTAAAGATTCTTTTACGGTGCGGTGCCCGACCCTATTTATGAAACATTGCTCGAGAGCCCTCGCTTCAACTGCTTAATTGGAATTTACTATGGCCATATAGGGGATTTATAGGCGCGACGCTCTGGGTTCTTACGTGTTTATAGCATTTTGTGTGCAATGGACGGGCTATTTTAACAGTAATTTTGTTTTCCTTCGAAAATTGCTTTTAATTCTGGTGTGTAATATGTCCAAACCTTGTTTCTGTAATATTATGTTTGGTTTTCTATGATTCAATGTAATTATTGCGAATATTAAATTGTCTTTACGAATTTGTTAAATTCGTAAAAATAATTTAGTAACAGTATTTCTTTGCGCAGTATCCGAAATCGTATTGAATTATAGGTTGTTCCTATACTTGCCTTGAACGTAAGCAAACAAACGATGGTTCCGATAAACGCGATAACAAGGTGATAAATTCAATCGATACTTTGTTCGTACCTATGAGTCACAAAGTTATGGATTTGTGAAACTCATACGCTTTGGAATATTGTGCCAAGGTGTGTTGCGTATATTTATAGTTCTTATAGATGTATATATATAGTATATAGGGTGATAAGGTCCTTTGCTATAAAATATTTACAGGGTATATTCCCGAAAGTAACCTTTCATCGTTCGATGCTTACAACGGGTCTTGCTTATCTAGATATCAAATGATTACCGATATTATTTCGATATCGATACCAAATATATTCCGAGTCATATTTTTAGCAACAATAGAATTTTTACCTTGAGGTGAATTGTTCATGTTTATATAAAAAGAACGATCACGCTTGTGTATTTATTGTTTGTTTTGTTGCGTTTTCAGTTGAAGAAAGTTTTTTTTAACTTTCCTACTACCCTATTTCTATGTCATGGCAGATTTCTAAAACACGATGTCACGAATAAGAAGTGCATCCAGGCACAGGAAAACTATTTATCCTTATGGAATACACCAATTTTTAAATAATGTTTGGGACCCATCTCAAAACCAGCGTGACATTTGGCAAAATGAGCCCCAGCGCCATTCTCGCAGTCTATAGTACGTTAACGTTGGGTAAGAAAGGTTCTCGAGTGGCAGCCTCGTACTGGCCATCGCAGTGTAGGACGACCCCCCACTAGGATGGAGTAACGACCTGTGCAAATGTGCGGGAAGTCGATGGATGCAGGTGGCTCCGGATCGTACTTCATGGCAGTCTATGGGGGAGGCCTATGTTCAGCAGTGGACTCAAACAGGCTGAAATGATGATAGTACGTTATATATAAGAATGTGTTGTGGTTTCTTCGTTGCAGACCTTTTCCAACTACACTGAGAAGACTGTGGAGTTCGCCCCCGTACGCAGAATATGGTACATTGGCGACGCCGATTTCCGTACAACGACTGGATCGGCACGTGCACATGTGTCGCACGATGCCGTGCGAGGATAATATAAAGTTTGCGAAACCCCAACGCAAACTGGATTTCGGCATTTATCTGAACACATGTACCAATAAAATGTAAGACAGTTTGTATGGGAACATAAAATTGTTGTGTTCTCCATAGTTTCTTACCGTTTATCAAATTTTTACGTTCTATCGGTCATTTTAAACCTTAGAGGAATTTATAATTCATGCATTATGCCAAAAGGCTGTTCAATTTTTGCCGCCTGTGCTGACTTCTGAAGTTTTCTGGTAAAACGTGTGTTAATATAACGGCCTCGAATTTTGGGCCAAATTTGTCGCCGCTTAAAATTTTCCGCCCTTGGCCCTTACTTAGCTTGCTGGTAAAACCGCAACTGTGCAGGATAATTAAGATATGTAACAAAACCCGTGTCAAAACGCATTTGGATACCAGCAATGGTGAAAATAATGTTCTGTGAAAATGTTACGAAAAAAAAAGATCATGAAAAGTCATGAAAAAAAAAAAGACTAAAAGACGGTGTTTGCCACACCGATACAAATCTCAACGTTTTTTATCTACATTGTTTTTTCGCATTTTATCCAATGCTTGGCGCATCTATTGTTAACTTACGAGCTTAATTACGAGTTCATAGGAAACATTTTGAGGGAGGGGGGGGGGGGGGGGTTGGCGCTGTATAAACACTTCTTTTACTTATTGATATTAATAAGCGTACTACCAGTTACTTTCGATTAACTCATAATTCTTTCTCCTCGCTGTGAGAACGGCGGTCGCTTCTCAAACCGGTATAAAGACCTTCAAGGTGAACTGTAATAAAATTGGTTGTACATTACGCGCGTGAAACTGGACCGGTGCGTATTAGGTTGAGGTTGAGGACGCTACGTTGATTCTGATTCCAAAAATGAATCCGTGTCAGTGGGCCACAGATAATAGAAACGTCGATAAGTGTTTTATAATTGGCCAGTGTTATTTACCTATGCAGTTAGGGTTATGTTATCTGTGTAGACGCGTTTGAAGAAAATATTTCCTTATGCTCGCTCTGGAGGTTTTCGTGAAATTATTACCCAGTTAAAAGCGTTTTGGCTGATAATAGCGTGGTTAGCAAAATAAATTCTTTCAAATGCAAACTTGGTGTTAAGTGGTAACTGCCGTCCATGGACATTTGCAACACCCGTAGAGTTGCAGATGCGTTGCCGCCACCTTTTAATAAAGTGGACCCCGGCTACCTCACTTACCAGACGAAATGCAGAAATGTAACATTTCCACTTCACACCGGTCTTCTATGAGGTTGTGTCCTTCCTCGGACGGACGGACGGATTTCTAAATTTAATTAGAGCCCTTTTCTGTTACGTATGTCGAAAAAATTTGAAAACAAACTACAATTAAACAATAATTTATCACATTATGTGTGATGTTTAAAATGAACATAAAAGTCTTTTTATGGGGATTCCAGGCATTTTGCGCGTAATGTAATATGACCAGAGCGCTACCTAGGTTTATTAATTTTTTGTTTTTTGGAGATTTATTAATGACTGTTGATGATTCCGGTGGCGACTCAAAACGACATTTTTCCAATAATCAATTATTTTTCAAACATTATTTCAGCCTCCTTTTCTCAGATTCAGTCAAGTTTTTGTTAATGATTAACTAAAGCCCGGTTCTAAAACACTGACCATCGTAGAAGTCAACTAATCAAATGGATGTTCAAATGTTATTTGAGTTGCCAAAAGGATTGTTAAACTCTCTTTTGATCATTAAGAAGATCATTCTTATCGGTTGAATGAATGGTTAATTTGCTTCAACGATGATCAGTGTTTCAGAAACCGGGCACAAGAGTTTGTAACTACATTATAACTAATAACTAAATTATAACTTACTAGCTGCTGCCCACAACTATGTCTGCGTAGGAAAGGCTGAAGGCGTAATATTCAGACAGAAAGACAGATATACATAAAAATATCTATATAAACTATAGCTTATGTCTTATTCTGATGTGTAAGCTATATTATTGTAAAGTTTCATTCAGTAGTATTTGCGTGAAAGAGTAACAAACATCCGTATGGCTGGATACAAACTTTCTCTTTTATAATTATATTTAGTAAGGATTTATTGGCTTCATAGATTTAAAACACCGTTTCTGACTATAGAAAAGTTTTGTAATACATAAAACTCACTTAATTTGTCTTCTTTGATCGATTGACATTTTACCTCCTGTTTATGCGTTACGCTACAGGGGTCGGAAAATTGTGCTTTTGTTATCAATCAAATCAGACAAATTACTATGATTCGCATCGGTAAAATTTTAAAATCTGTAACGTATTTGAAAATGCGGTCAGGTTATTTTCGACGCGGAAATTCTTTATTACTATTTTTAGTTTCAGAATAACCGAATCTATAACCATATCATCCATTTTTGGCTATAAAGCGATGAGGCAAAATAGTCGTAACCTACCGAACAAGTGAACATGCATAGTTATAATTACTTTGAAATAATCCAAATGATCCGTACTTCACGATAAATAAATCCTCTTCCATTTAAATATAAGTAAATGAAAATGACTGTCAAGAATGACAATAGTTATTACGAATATGCGATAAGATTACAATCATTTACTTTGTTTTAGGCTCTTTTGTATTCCAGTCGACAACAACTACTCTTTGATTGTCAATGTGTGTCGCCTGCCCTTTCCCACCTTTTTGGGGTTGCACGGCATTTGAATCATCTTGTTAATGGTGTTGAACAGATTTTTTCCCAAGACCTTCCCAATTGAGTTCACAATAAACGTGGCAAATAAGAAAGCCAGTCCATTCGATGGTCATTGACAATCTGAGCAAAAGGATACTTTGAATTGGATACTGATAAAGTTTACTGTGATGATGCAATGGCATATAGGAGGACGGGCAGTAGAGGAGTCGGGACCTGGCAAGGCAGCCAAGTTGGCCTTGAGCTTCTTGACCAAAGAAGCCCTGACTCTTAGTCAACTTCGTTAGGTTTGTTTGGCGGAGGCTATCTACCTCGAAGGGAAGATTACAAAATATAGGTTACAGCGGTCGGACTACCCACATAAATTATATTAATAATCTGTCTCTATCTGTCACGCTTGGTGTGAAAGAAACAGAGCTAATTGGCAGCTCTATTTACACAGGCTGACTTCCACAACCTGGACGACTACATCGCGTACGAGTACTTGGCGAAGGTGGCGGTGCCTGAAGCCGTGACCGCCAGTGGACAGCCGCGCACTATAACCCTCAGCTTCCCAGTTGGGAGCGGAGTCCGAACGCCGGGCTTCTACCGTTTCATATACTTCAGCCAGCCGAGCAATGACGTCAGAAGCGTATTAGGTAAGTAAGCTACGAATAATAAATACTTCGGGACATACATTGTATACCATACTAGCTGATCCGGCAAACGTTGTTTTGTGGAATTTCATAAAATCCGTTCTTAGCTGCCGTCTACTCGGCGAAAGGAATATTCCTACCAAATTTCAAGTCTCTACGCCTTATGGTTCCTTAGATATCGTGATCAGTCAATTACCGGTGAAAATCTCTTATTATATTGTCATATAAGGCATTTCGTCTTAATGGAATTCTGGTCGTGGATGGAAGAAATAGTTTTTTTCGCCGGAAACTTTTTTTTCTCTTAGACTGGCTCTATGTTATGTTCGAGTGAGAGGAAATTTAATGGTATTCTCAATGTTCCAGTTGTAAGATTTAGTCATTTGTTCTTCCCATTTATTTGTTCTTATTGCAAGGTAATATTTACCTTATACATCGACAGGGGAAACCTTAATTGTAGTATATGCAAAACCAAATGACACGGAAATTGCCGTCGTGCTTAACAAACCAATATTTAGGCGTCTTCCCAAAACTTATTATGTTCGAAAGTGCTGTATACCTAAGTTTTTTAACCGCTTTTCCGTATAACCGTTTATTAACCGCTGATCTGTTATTTACATACAAGTATACACCACCTATTTGTTGGTCAAATAAATACTTGTTCTATTTTGCACCAATAGGTTATCAACTGTGCAACACCTTTTCACTGTGGCTCAAAACTCAAAATAGTTGTGGTTGAGTACACGCCTTAGCGAATGTGACCTCTATCGCAACACAACTGAGTTTAAAGTCGCTTGTCGCAGGTATCTCGGAGCCGTTCGAGGTTAGCAGAAAGGAGGACCGGCTAGTGGCGATAGACCCGTGCGAGCAGGCGTCCACCAGCGGCCGCGCGGGTCAAGCGAAGCCGACCACCGCGACCACGGACCTCTTCTCCGACTTCACGGGCCTGGACGTGGCCAAGCTGTCGCGCCATTTCTCCAACGACCTGAGCATCGACTGACTAAAGGGCCACCTGCCCGGCTCGCCGGCCGGCGCGAGGCGGAGGCGGGACGCGCCCTGAGGTACGCCTTAAGCGTCACTGACACACACTCACACACCAGTAACATACGTGTGTGAGTGACTCACACAGTCACAAATATATAATTATATGTAAGTAGCGAATCCGTCGCGAAGAATTTTGCGCCGCAGTGAAGTTGGTCTCGTTGAACTGGTAACAAGATCAACTGTCATTTTAAGATGTTACCATTTGCCGAATAAACAGTAGGCAATATTTTTTTTTTATAGTAAAATTTGAAAAATTACGAAAATTTGTCTGCGGTGCCATCTATTGGGCTGTACACAAAACTTTTAGTTTGGTGTTTCCGGTATATATGAAGTTGCTTGCACACGCAAACTTTTGGTGATGGTTTTAAATACGTGTACCATCTGCATGGTAACGGTAGTGCAATAATGTGTTAATAGTACACACCAATAATGGTTGCGATTTTTGCAGTTTTTATGAGACAATAAATACATTTGGAGCCCGGCAGAGCCAACTTCACTCAAGCGCATTTAAGTGACGTGCGACCCACGCTATTGAGTCTATTTATACAACCACAATCTAGTTTAGTTAGTTAATTGCAAAGTATATATTAATAGAAGAAAGATGGTTCCCACCAGCGTTTTTGAGGCGGAACACCTTAGTAAATTTAACGATAATATCAGAAAATTGTATTAAAAATTCGGTTTCGTCCTTTATTGCTCACCGATTATTTCTACAAGCAACGTTTTTATCAATGCACCTGTGCACCGTATCAAATCTTTGAATAAATCATAATATTTGCGATTGATTGTTACAATAAAGAAAATTAAGTGACAGAGATTGATTTAAAATTGTTATGCCTATGATATGTTCGTAGATTCCTCGTTCAGTGATTTATTAGTACAATTACATTAGATAATTTTAGCTTTCATATAATGAGGAATGTCCAATTCTGAAGTACACTTTTAGCAGTATTTCAATGTGTTACTCTATTTGCTTTAATCTCTTTCATCAGCATCAGTTAAATGTGATTTTTTACTTCTAATTAAGCCTAGCTAGTGCAATGTAACTTAATTTCTTTACTTTAATTTTTTTACATATTTGTATTCAATTCAACATTCCCAGTCAGATCAGTAAAATAATTATTATGGTTCTATTTATAAGTTAAAGAAAATGTATGTTATAATACGGTTAATGGATTATGGCATTATATTATATAATAATGTATTATGTCTAATAATTTATACTTTTAAATAAGCATATATGTATATAAAAAAACTTGATTGTTCTCTCTTCGTTTTCTTAGAGCTTGTTTTATAGATAACAAAATAGTTTTATTATTTGCATGAATTAATATATGTCACAAGAGATTATAAATAAGATAGCTTATATGATATTTTAAAATGTCCATGATTCTTCATAATACAGTTTCAAACTCCGGTGGTATAAAGATTTAAATAAATTAAAAAGAGTAGACGAACTTCTTGAGAGAATTTTGTGACATTAAATTGCTTAAAATTACGATTGCATTGGAACATTTGTTGCAACCATACATGTTTATCAATCTTAATAACAAAAAAGGGTATATAAGAGCATATAAAGTGTCTCATGTTACATCACATTTTTAAATTCTTATTATATAGGTGTTGTTTATATAAAGAATATTAATGTACACATTAAACGTCATATAGATACGAACAATTAAAGAAACCGTACACTAACAAATAATTTAAGTAGAAAGAAAATGCGAACTATTTAGCGAAATAAATGTTCTTAGCTGCCCATAATGTTATTTAAAAGTGTAAAATAATTGTTCACATGTTGCCATGTACAAAATTATGTTGGATATTGAATGAAATAAATATAAGTACTTGAATCACTGTTCAAAAGATTAATGTTTTAGCATAACTATTTAGTTACATATTTATTATAAAAAAACCAAGGTTGGTTCTCTTGTATTGTTTGTTACCCATTACATTGCCATACTTAAAGGATTAAATAAATAGGTTCCTGTTTATATAATAATGACTGTATTAATATTAAAAATATCAGTGTTGTTTAATAATAGTCAATGTTTCAGAAAAGGTCTTTTGTTTTTATGTAAAATGTATTAAAAGTCAGTCATAATAGCCTGTATGTAGTGCCTTTAAAATGATATATGCATAAATAAGGCCTTATTGGCCTATTTGACAGTTTAAATGTTCATAGTTATCCTTTTTCTACTGATACACTTGTTTAGGAAGGTTTTCATTATTTACACTTGTGTAACTGTACATAGATTTTAAATAAACTTCATTGTAAACATTTGAAAACCATAAAAGTAATTACATTTATAGATGGTTATTGGAAACATTTGACCTTTAACATTTTTTATGACCCAAAATAATTTTAAATAAAAACTTTAAAACGCAGTACGTAGGGATGTTGAAAGTGAAGAAATATATTGATATATCGACATTTTCTGTTTTATCCAAAAAAAATGTATAGATATTTCAAGTATTAAATATTTGACATCTACTGACTCTATGCCGAATTCGAATTGGATATGATTTCGATTTTGAATACTTTATTTCGATATATCGGCTACTTTCAACATCCATAATTTGACGACATAATGTTCCATGATCATAACTATTTTATGTATCGGTATAAAGTACTTGGTATATTCTAAAACAATTTAAAATTTGATTTTTAAAAGCAATCAAATAATAAAGCAAGCAATATCTAACGTAATATAACGTGACTTAAATTAAAACAAACATTCATACCGAGCTAATAAAAGCGTGTTCATAATAGGTCGCTTCCTTAATTTAAGCTACCATTTGTCTATGGTAAATAACACCGTCTAGGCAATTTTTTTTATAACTTTGTGTTCTAAGTTCTGTTTCTTCAAGTTTCCTCGTCTTAACACAGAGCCATCTTTCCACCATCGGCGGAAACAGTGTGGAACACAAATAGTGATTTCGCCGTTAAAAACATAGATGGCGTTTTCAGTTGTATTTTTATTTTCGTTTTGAAAACTTGGCGAGCGAGCGCATTAAATTATATTCATTCACAATCAAAAGACCACCGCCGAGGAATTACCGCTTCGTTGCCGCTCCCAAGTATAATGCTCATAAATATTTATCGCGGATTAATATCAATTAATGTAACGTATGCGACTGGAGTCTAAGGGGAATTTATTAAAGGCGTATCAATTTATTGCATTTAGCGGCGCTAGGATTAAATATTTATAAAAGAATGGAGACTTGTGGCAATACGAATATGTTATTTGATATTGCGTATATACAAAAATTTGTAATGTGTTATATAGATGGCCTAAGCTTATATAAATATATAATAATATATTATTGCGTAACTGTTGTGGTCCAATTTGCGATGGTATAGAGGCGAATTTAAATTAATTTCCACTCCTTGTCCACCCCATTAAGATTTACTTGTTTAGTTAAAAAGCGGTACAATGTTTTAAAACGTCAATAAATCATACGTTTATATTTAATGGATATATCTTTTGATTATTTTCGAAAACGTTCGCAAGGTCACACTTTCCACTGATTTTACTTTTATATAGGGTTGCCTTAATTCTGATTTAATTTTGGCCTAATTATTGTCGCCATTCTTTCAGTGTAACATCTTACATTTTACAACATTATTCTATATCCTGGCGCGAAAACGGCACGTTAATTGAATTGAAAATTAGACCTGGAATTATTTTTCTAACATTTATATTTACTAATTAGTCACAGTCAGTATTGCCTCATATAAATTAAGCTTATTAGTCTCAAACGTGACTTGTAACGGTTGGGATTTTATAAACGTGTGAATTAAATTTACGGTTGAAGTTTAGCTTAAGACCAGTGGGGGCAACCTTCCTCCCACGTGTGGGCGTTCCAGTTTTCTTTGTGTGCGGAATTTCACTCTCACGCTGAAGCACTCCGTTTAAAATTTAATCGACTTAAAGGACATTGAAATGGCATTTCGTTAGTTATAAAACTACATGGCACTACTTAATGTTCTTTTTTTACATTTTTTGTTATTTTTATAGTTTTCGTATTTTACTTCTAGACATTTATTAACAAATACAAAATAATTCAATTAGTATGCACTTTCGGTGGAAATTTTATTTTCGCGTCAGTCGTAGCGTAGGTTTAAAATAGTTGACAAATGCTGGTTTAGTCGATTAAGAACTAAAGTTTTAATAATATGAATGAGATTATTCTTACGGCGATCTTTTAAGTATAAAAACCATATTTTTTTTTTATTAAAAACATTGCCTTTACTTTAGGATAATAGTATCCTGTGTTGTAAGGGAATTTTACAAACATAAATTTCACGCGGACAAACACCCAGATGCGAAACAATTATCTGTGGGTCACACAAATAGTTGTCCCGTGTGGGAATCGAACCCACGACCCCCGACGCCGAAGCCAATACCTTGGCAACTACGCCACGGAGTCATCAAACACATACATCGTATACTTTATTTTTTCGTAAATCCAATGTTGTTTATTAATATAAAAGCCATATACGATTACATCTGTCAATGATGTGCCTATGATGTGCGGTGGATAGGATATAAAGATTACGAACGCCTTTTATGTACCAACATTTTCACTTAGACAAGAGATGTTTGCTTGGCCTAGTTAAGAAACTACTTATGGAGTAGTTGAGCCAGAGTTATTTGTTAAAAACACACAATTCACCTAGTTCACGTCATTCCTGTGATATTTCAAGGTTAATATAATGTTTACGTTAGTTTAGAGCGTTGATTTTACTCTTCAAAATCTCGATGGCCCTTCGGAGTGGAATTAGTTACACCTGACAATTTTATCTATATTACGTTAATATAACCAAATTAATAGTACGCATAAATACAGTAGACTATAAAGTAGTTGAGAAGTACTGTTTTGGTAAAGATTAAGTTTAGGTTCTGCTATATCCAGTGTATATATTTAGCCATATTCTTAAAGGTGCCTCAGTTTGCTACAGTCGCCTGCATGTTATGTCATATGAGAATATTAATATTGTAATTGTGAAAAATTGACGGCTCAAAAGTCGCTCATTCAAGACGACAATAAATTGAGTAGTGCGGTGCTACCATTAATATTCTATTTTATATTAAGAAACAAAATTTAAAAATTAAGAGCCCTAACTTTACGCGCTTAATACAATTTACAAATATTCCTCATATTAATTTTAATGCACTCCTTATGATTTTAATTGTTATTTTATATTTCTTCAATAACTATACCAAAAGTTTGTAGGCCTCTTTTAACAATAAATTGTTTCCATGCTGTTAAAATTGCGCATATGCTCGTAGTAAAATGCCATTGATGATTATAATATTACTATAGCCCTAATTGGTTAATATCTAGTAGTTGCTCAAAAAATTATTTACACCTATAAACACGTTAATGAAAATGGATGTATGCTCCACAAATATCCTAATTTTTTGTACCACCGATTAAATAAAATAATATTCATTTTTACACTACACAAAGTAGTGGTTGTTTGTAGAATAGCCGTGATGGTTATTTCGTGCAATTTCCTAAAAGCTATATTAGTACTTACTTAACGGACTGTATACAAAATTTAGAATATTGCAATTAATTTAGACGTGAAATGTTTGTGTTTAGAGACAGAAAATTATGTATTAATGTTCATGTAATTATCAAAATTTTCGGTGTTATATGTGATACGTTTCAAGAATTTCTTGCTTGCCTGTATCGGTTCATGTTACATTGTATGAGATATTTTGGACTGGTTAAGTTATAAATTTATTAATTACCTATAGTGTATTAATTACCGCATCACTGTTGATCGTTGTCGTTTTACCAAAACAATTGAACGTTGTAAGCATTTCAAGGTTACGGACGTGTTGTGTTTTAGTACAAATGATTAATTACTATTATTAACGATGTCACAATAACTACTGTGTTACGATTAAATAAATTATATTTGGTTGACTCTGTTGTTTCAATTTTGCCTACGTGCCTCGGTCGAGCGCCGCGCGAGCTACGTGTCGCGGCGCACTAGACGCGACTGTGCGTATCTTTGGGACGAGTCGAATTATCGTGATAAGGGATACGCGGAACCGGGCGATGTTTATCCGAGCGTGGGGGGTGGCGTTGATGCCGAATGCGAATGCGGGCCGTGTCCCGTACTACCGCGGCGTTATCGGGAAAGCGCGGGAAAAGCGGCGGCGAGCGCGGCCGGCGTACGAGCTCAGTAGGTCCGCGCCCGCTGACGGAGATGGACGTATCCGCGCGCGCGCTCGCTCTGGCGCTCGCCGCGTTCGCGCTGACTCTCGTCCGCGCTCACACGCCGTCCCACGACAACATACTAAGGGTGCAGCTGTGGGACGCTGAGGGCCTGAGCCGCGAGCCCGTCCAGCGCGCCCCCGCCTCGCTGGCTCAGCGCAGGCTGAGGGTCAACGTGAACTCCCTTTACGACGCGATGCTCAAGGAGTCCGAGCACGGCGTCGGCAGGTTCGCCAGGCACAAGGTGCGCCACAAGCGGCGCAGGCCCCGCCAGAGCGGCACCGAACTGCCCTGGAGGTTCCACGCGGGCGGCGGCCTCGTGAACGTGGCGGTGTACGAGGACTCGGTGCCCTGGGAGGTGATAGAGGCGCGCGGCTCGGGCGGCCACGGGGCGTCGGTGAACGCGAGTGCTGTGAGTGAGCCGAGTGCTAGTGGTGCGAATGTCCCCCGCGAAGTTTCGCCGCCAATGACCCTGCGCCAGGACGAGGAGGTAATGAGCGAACAGCCCTAGCACGGAGCCCCTTTCCGCGTCATCGCCGCCGCGAAGGTGACGGTCGCTAACGAGCCGGCCGCCCGTCGCTCCGAGCACCTCCGTTCACGCGCACCTTTCACTCGGCACCCTCCGGCGGCGATGCCCTGATAGGGGAATACCCGTCATTGTTTTCAAAATGTGTTCTCGCGCAAGTAGATGGTATCGCATCGGGGCGGCCTCGAAGCGAAGTATTAAACGGGGATTGGCTTGGAGTTCGTAATCAGGAGATACGTTCGCCGATAGCGCGTCGAGTGCCCGCCGTTCGCGGTCCGCTCGGGCGCTGATAATTTTATATACAATTGAAAATGTATCATGTAAAAACCTAGCGGAAGTGTCCAATGGAATTTGCGATAAGATGCATTCTGATTTGAGAGATTTCGTGACCGCCATCTATTTCGTTATCGTCGACGTAGGATAATGTTTGTGAAAGTGATATGCGGCGCATAAAACGATAATGTTCTTAGTTTTATTATTATTTTGTAAGCATTACGAATCTAGATAACATTATTTCGGTTATTTGTAAATCTCATTGCCTTAAGTTTTAGAATGGTAATGAAAAAAAAAATTACCGTGGTATGGCTGTGGAATGGGCTGAAGTAATTTAATTAATCTCATAGGCGATAAGTTGTATTCTCTTAAAGTGATGCGTATTGAAAATGTAAACCTCTGTGGATACCATTAATGTTAATGTAGGCATGTAAGAGTTTATTTTTCAATATACAAATTTCACAAACACTTCAAGGAATTTCATTTAGTTCGCTCGATGCCAATATCTGCTCCGGTCCATTGTAGCGGCCCCCGTACTTTGTACGGGCCCCTTTATGTACCCGGAATTTAACGTCCGACCTTTCACATATATTGTTAACCTTTTGCGAAACTGGTCAGAGTTCGACTGTGGGGAGTTCAGCGTTGCTGATTTATTCCCATTTCAATGGATCTTCGGGTGCCTATTCAATATTTGAATGGATTTCGTACCATCGAACTCGAGTTTAGGGTACGTAAATTGTTACTCGCATTTTCATTTACTCCATTCCTGTGCATTGTACGCTTGAAGATGAAATGGGGAATTACAATAAAGGAGGATTACAATAATAGGAGCACAAAGTATTTTAGTAAAAATTATCTTTCCGACATATTTTAAGTATTTTTGCTCTACATTTGCGAATGTTACAGTCATGATATATTTGCATTTCTCTACCGCGGAGTTTTCGTGAAGTCTCAGTCCTGGTACTGAGGGACGAAAATTTAATGCATCTTTAAATTTTAAAAGACTCAAAAGTATTAGATGCACTGCATAAAATAAATACAAGAATTCAATATAAAGTTAGTAGGTACAACGGTAAAAGTTAACAAAAAAGTTCTTTAATATAGCCATTGAAATGATTTAAGAAAGCGCTTTCCAAACTGCTTAGAATTACAAAATCTCATACAAACACGTCCTGTAGAATAAAAAAAAAAACGATCGTTATAAGGGCGTTCGTTACAGAATACACTCAATTTGGAATCGAATCATAACTAATTACACATCAGTCTATTAGCAGCGAATGAGTTTCGAATTGGCCGTGCTATACGCGGTGTGTGTACACTGTACAGCTTACCGCGTGCACGCCCATCTCCCGCAGTCCACCGATGCCACCGATCAGCCGGAAATTAGGAGTAAATCGATAATTTCCCTCCCAACACTGTCCGTTGGTGATCAGCGCGCCGCTAATGGAGTCTGATTGAATCCCTATCTGTCACTGACCATTAAAACGCGAACCAACGCGCCAATGAAACGGATTAAGTTCATTTACTTTGCTAAATGAAATTTTCACAGGGATAAAAAGTGTATGTGATGTTGCAGTATATATAATGATTTCTATTTAGATACGATGACATGTTCAGTTGCGATCATATTTAAAGATAACGTTACTTGAATTTTAATGACAAACTTTGTCCTATTTGCGATATCGATTTTTTGAGTATATTGAAAACGCATTTCTTCTATGAAAAATCCTTTACGATAGATCTAAAATAACCGATCCATCATATTCATGCATTTCGATATGTTTTGATTATTTTCCTTATAGATTAAAAGCAATCTTAGCATTTACTAGGCACTAACAATCTACTAAATACCATTTCGGAATAAATGCTTGTTTTCCGTTGTTTTAACATACCAGTTCTTGCTTGATTTCATTCGTATTCCATTTTAATTAAAGTTTTCTATCATGTGATATTTTTATTCTCTTATAAACTTTTTAGTGTCTTTAAAATAATCATACCATAGATTACATAAGAACATTGAACAGTAAGATCGTCATAAAACGTATTCCGATATAAAACATTGTTCAAAATAACCAAATAAATATTTGAAAACTTTGCCTTCTCTAAAAATTGTCATACGCAAGCGAAAAGTATTTTCCGTCCCTAAGGAATAACAACTTTACCGAAACGCAAAGCTTATAAATATTATGAAATATTTATAAGCTTCCTTATAGATCGTTTGTAGCTCGATAGTTTAGATAAGATGAATTAGTTTGATATCGTCGCAGCACAATGTGGTCCCGCTCCTGGGCTTAATATGCATGAGATGTTGCCATCAACTATTAACTACGGTCGAACCCATACATTTAACGCTAAAGATTAGTGTAACATAATCTATCCACATTTGGGCGGTCGGCGTAATTCGATTAACGTGTATAACCGAACTATGTGCATTCGTATAATTTGATTTTAGTTTCACTCTAATGAACCCTGACGGCATTTCAATTAAGCCCTAAACAATCAGCGTTGTTCTAACATTATGTCATTGAAGTGTTTACGTGTGCCACATTTATTACATCAGAGGGTCTGTGGTATAATTTTATTGCCGAAAACCACACGGCGGCGGTGCTTATGTTGTTTAATAAAACGGGGACATGTCTACAAACTTTTTTTGCTAAAGCCTGCTCTCAATAGAGCATACGTCCACTACAGCCATAGAAATGTGGCCGGAAATTAATTTGTTCCGATATATTATGGCATGCGGTTCGAATTCTTTATATAATGGAATATGTATATATTTCACCAGTTTCTAATACAATATCTGTTTAGCGTTTTTCTTATTTGCAAAAACTTAATACATTCTGTTATTGTTAGGATAATAAAACATACATGCCTTTTTGGATTCATATAACGGGTCCCAAAGTCAAGCCAATTAAATAACTCGTAAATACGGATTAAATTAAATTAATTGATGAGTCAGACTAGTCTTATTCTATACGGCAAAATCATTAATCTGTCATGGCTCTAAAACCAAAATGATAGTCTACGTAAATTGGTTTTTAGCAATAAAATATTTTATACATAAACTGAATGTAATATATTTCGTCGTACAGAGACAAAAGATGGCTATTGAGGCTTTTGTATTAAATTGCGCCAGTCCATAACCACAGCTCTAACACGCAACCACATTCCTAATTAATAATTAAAGCAATAAAGGGCTCGGACTCTAACTCCCTAATTTATTAATACCACACTGCAGCCATATAATGTTTTAAGTTACTTTTCTAGCGATGGAAATGTGTGTTATTTTTCATGTTTATTCCTTCACAATTACATTATACGAGCAATAATGTTATTTGATGTTACACTCGAATCTAAAAGCATCTCTTCTTCTTTTTACTTGTTATTTATTTTTAAAAATGGAGGGGTCAACGCGCTTTGTAGACAAGACGAAATTAAAGAAAAAGCCGTTTCGTTGACTTGATTACAAATTCTTGCATCGTACCCATTTATATTTCTTTGTTATTTTTTTTTCTTCACCGTCGGTCGGCCTTTAACTTAATAACTGAGATTAAATAAAAAAGCGTACAAAAGCAGGCTACGGATGAAATTAGTACTGTAGGATGATATTAAATTCGCCTCTTTCCATTTAAGCATAACTTTTATCGTCTTTTTATTATTGGCATTAAAGTCTTTACTTAAATTAGGCGGCCGTAAGGAAATCGCTCCGCGCGGAAAGTAATTATACAGCTCCTTAATAGCCTTTCATAAATGGAGTCATTATTCTTAAGCAGATCAAACATCTGCTGAAGCTTTGGCCATAACCGAAATTATTATCTGTTGTTTTCGCTCCCCTAATTAATAAACGCAACGGGGCGAGTAATTATGGGAAAATCAATATCTCTCCCCCTGCCGGTACACGTCGTTATTGTTTACTTATTGGTTTCTATTGCAGGGGTAAGGCCGTTTTTATTTTAAAATTCTAACAAAGACTATGTTTATTATAGACTCAAAGCAGTATTTTATACATTTTTACCGTATAAGTGCCATTAATTGACTGGCTGGTGATACAATATCTAAAATTGACTATAGGTATCACCACCTATAGTCAATTTAAAATATTTTTAATATATGTGCAAAATGTACAAAAAATATTTAAATTTGATAATCTTTTTTATTTATAATCCTTTTATTGATTTCGTTATAAGAAAACGATTATTATAAAAGGATTAGATTATTATAAATAACAAATTTCATCCTAAAAAATATGTTCCAGTGCTAGTAGGTAAAGGCCTACTTTGTGAAAAAAGGTGGCGGATCTCACGAAACTTATAAATATTTTTATAGTAATTCACAGAGATGCTTCATCACGATGTTTTCCTTTCAGTGTCAAATAAGGCCTAAACAACACTCTAAATTGCGAATTTCTATAATTTATTGGCACCGGTACCGAGAATTGAACTAATTCAAAACTTCAAGAATTATTAAGCGCTAAGCCCCAAATAATTTTACGAACATTGCTAATATTATCTCTGGTATTGACATGCATATTTATAGTATTCCCTTTAACGTCGTTAAATTAAAACAGTTTAAGGGATTTTATCAGAAGGTATGTATTGTTTTTGTCTAATATTTTAGGGACCTTAAAATAGGGACTCTAATTTTATATGTAAACTAAAAATATTCAGTTTCTTCTACTATGAACCGATTCT